TAAAAAAAAAATGCTGGAATTTGAAAATGTTTATCATTGTCAAATGAATCTAAGAGCCAGTTCTTTGAGGGGAAAAATGTTAACAATAAAATAGATACATCAGGCCAAACATGGTGGTTCACACCTATAATCCTAGCACTCTGGGAGGCCAAGGTGGGAAGATCCCTTGAGCTTAGGAATTCAAACCAGACTGAGAAAGAGTTAGAAGCCCGTCTCTACTAAAAACAGAAAAATTAGCTGGGTGTCATGGTGTGTACCTGCAGTCCCAACTACTTGGGAGGTTGAGGCAGAAGGATTGCTTGAACCAGGAGTTTGAGGTTGCAGTGAGCTATGACGACACCACTGCACTCTACCCTGGTTGACAGAGCAAAGCTCTGTCTCAAAAATAAATAAATAAATATAAATAGATAAATCATCAACTACCTAATCCAAGGGGAAAAAAGGAGTGAGTACAAGTAGAAAATATTAAAACAAGATTGGAGAAATGGCAACAGATAAAACTTTAAATGTTAGCTGAGCACTTTCCACAACTCCTTAAAATTTAATTTGAAAATATGAATGAAAAAAAAATATATATATATTTTTTGAGACAGAGTCTCACTTTGTTTTCTGGGTTAGAGTGCCGTGGTGTCAGCTCACAGCAACCTCAAACTCCTGGGCTCAGGCGATCCTCCTGCCTCAGCCTCCCAAGTAGCTGGGACCACAGGCACGTACCACCATGCCCAGCTAATTTTTTCTACTTTTTAGTACAGACCGTGTCTTGCTCTTGCTCAAGCTGGTCTCAAACTTCTGAGCTCAAACGATCTGCCTTCCTCCGCCCGCTTCGGCCTCACAGAGTAGGATTACAGGCGTAAGCCACCACACCCGGGAAAATATATATTTTCCCATTCAGGGAAAATATATATTTCCCTGAATGGGAAATATATATTTTTTTCCTAGTAGACCATTAAATATGGCCCTCAGAGAAAAAAATTGAACAGATCAGATATTATAAAAAAAATGATCAAATTATCATCAAAGAACTATGACCTTTAAAAATAACTGGAACAAAAAATTTCTCAAATGGATTATTTCAAATTTTCAAAGAACAGATTATTTGATGCCATTAAATTGTTCACACGCATCAGAAACTGTTCAAGGCATCAGAAACTTGAAAAATTATTCAAGGCATCAGAAATATAGTAAAATATAAGGCCAGTAAAATTCTGCAACACATGTATTCATAATCTACTACCACATAAACAATTACTCCAAAATTTAGTGGCTTAAAATAACAATATTTATTTATTATCTCTCATGTTTTCTCTGGGTCAAAAATTCAGGAGTAGCTTGGCTAGGTAGTTCTAGTTTGGATCTCTCATGAGATTGTTGTGGGCTGTTGGCTAGATCTGCAGTCATCAAAAGGCTTGACTGGGATAGAGGATTCACTTCCAGGGTGGCTCACTCACATGGCTGGCAGGTTGGCGGTGCTGACTGTTGATAGGAGATCTCAGTTTTTCTCCAGTTGGTCCTTTTACATGGCCTGGGCTACCTCTCAACATGATTGCAAGTTTTCCAAAAGATAGAAAGGCAAGCAAAAGCTTCATTCTTTTTACAACTTAAACTTGAAGTCACATTGTATCACTTCTACAGTACTCCTTTGGCCAAAGCAATCACAAGCTCCAGCCAAATTTGAGAGAAGAGGAAACAGACTCCTCTTTCAGTGGGAAGAGTGTCAGCCACATTTTAAGAAGAACACGAAAAGCATAATAAACTATAGGCATCTTTGGAAAATTTAATCTGCTATAAAAAGTATATTATAGCATGGTAAAGTGGTGGGCAGAAGGTAAAGGAAGGTTCAAATTAAGAAAGCTATTAATTTTAAGCCTTTATAATAACATTAAATAAGACATATAATTATTTTAATGGATGACAAAAAGTGTACTTAAAATTCAACATGCATCCTGCATTTAAAACTACAGAAAAGGCAGTTTAGCAAAACAAAAGTAACGACACGATATTTCAAACCCCAAAGTAAAAACATTAAAAGCATTCCCATTAAAACTGGAAACTTAACAAGGATATTGCAAATGCACTATTTTCAAATCACTGATGTGAAAGCACATTTCAATGCAATTAGACAAAATTATCTGCAGAAGATTGTACTGCAGATCTGGGAAATCCAAGAAAATCAGCTGAAAAGTATTAGGGATTATATGGGAATTCCATATCCCAGAAATTCCATTAAGAGGGTTATACTCTAGAGAAGATTACACACATATACCAGAATATATGTACAGGAACATTTACAGTATAATAATTGCTGTAACAGCAAAAAACCAGAAAAAACACAAAAGGTCTAACAACAGTAGAAAGGACAATTATTCATACTATGTAATAGTACACAGCAGTGAAAATGAACTACATGAATCACCATGATGCATTGTAAAAATTTAACATTCTAAAAGAAGCTATTCACAGAGGAATATATACAGTGATTCTATTTATATATGTTCAAAAATATGCAAAACTAAACAACTTTGTTCAGAGATGCAAATGTATATAGTTAAAACCATAGGGGGAAAAAAGCTAAGGAATAATAAACACAATATTTAAGATAGTGGTTGCCCGTCTAGAAAGGGGTGGGAATAAAACTGTGGGGTCATAATGGGGCTTTCTAAAGTATTTGCTGGTCTAGATGGTGGGTGTTCATGTTGCTATTGTTGTATTTTAAATTGTACATGTTTTCAAATATTCAAACATATGTAATAAATCACAATAAAGTTCAAATTACATAAAATCTAAATAATACAGAAAAGGAGTTTAGACATATAAATAATATTACAAATTATTTGTAAATGACATTTATGATAGAATAAAAGTATGAATTCCTAAAAATAAATTTAGCAAAAATACTATGTAGTTTTAGAATTCTAAAGGATAAAAATAGGGTTGAAAAGATAGAAAGAACTTGCTCAATCTTAGGTAGGAGAAATAAATATAATTTATTTCTATTTTCAATGATCCAATCAAGATACTAACAAGATTTTGATGTGGTGATAGAAGAGATCTGACAAACTGGTTTTCAAGTTCTTTTGAGAGAAAAAGGGCAATTTTCAAAGAGAAATAATGAGACTAATCCAATCAATGTATTTATTAAAACTTTAATAAGGCCTCTGTAATTATAATGAGTTTGACATAGAAATAGAGAAGATCTTCTCTATTTGGAAAAGACTGGAATCCATGAAAAAGACTAGGAATCCAGAAAATGGAAAAGACTAGGAAAAGACTATGGAAAAGACTAGGAATCCAGAAATGGACCCAGTATGACAGTGAATTTTACACATCATAAAGGTGACCATCAAATTTGTAGAGAAAAGATGGCTTATTAATTAATGATGTTGGGACAACTGACTAGACATTTGGGAAAAAAAAATTTTTGAGCTTGATTCTTTGCCTCAATTCTGATGTCTTAGTGACTACAAAGAGTTAGATATGCATTTCAGTTTAAATAATAACATAACAGCAATCAACTGTGAGTTTTTTCTCTATGTCAAGCACTGTGATACTTTTTTACATGTCTGATTTTATTTAACCTCCTTAACAGCCCTACAGAGTAAGTTTGCCTTCCCCACTTTAAAAATGAGAAACTGGTTAAGTAGCTCTATCTAGTTCATAGTTATTAAGAAGTGGTAGAGACATAACACAAACTTAGGTAGTATATCCAGAGCCTGTATTTTGACCAATATGCTATAATGATAAAGCATACTGAAAGGTTACTTTATATACTTAATACCTATGTAAATTTTATTTTTTTTCAAAATGGAAATCATTATGATATTATTCTGTGGAATATTCTCAATATATGAGTTATCCTATTTCCTTTTCTTTATCCTTATTAAGTGAAAAAGAAAGGCTATATTCCTCTTCATTGTCTATTAAATGGACTAAATTTTCCCCAATAAAAAATGTAAATAAAGTATGGTATATACTTAGAATGGAAAACTCTATAGTCATTAAAACTTATGCTACCTAAAAAATGCTTGAAAAAAATGCTCATTTATATGTTAAATAAAAAATTATACAAAAAACAGCCATTCATACATTCAACAAATATTTACTGAGTCCTTCCTATATGCAAAGTACAGTTCCATATACTGTGAACACTCCATGCCATCATGAAGTCTATCTGTCATGACTCAAATTTTTAATGTATATACTAATCTCTCTATACAGATGTACAAATATATACATCTACACATACACTTATTTGTGTATTTTGTACACATGTTTATGGACACATGTGTATGTACACATGCATACATATTAGTGTTTATATGGATTAGTATGTATGTACCTTAATTATTAGATAAAAGACTATAAATAAATATACCCAACTATCAATAATAGTTGCCTCTGGTTGTGTGAAGGAGACTCTGAGTGGTATAATGTGAGTGGTACACAAGAATAAATAACAAATTAAACATTAATAGCCCTCCATAATGTGGTTTCACTTTATACATTCATACTTATATTTCCCTGTAACTAGCCCAGTTTCCTTATTTGTCCCCTCAAATTCTAACTGAGACTAAATGATGATTTTCCTATCTAGAATGATATCTTCCTATTCATAATGATTGCTCAAATCTAAGTTCCTATTACTGTGTGTTAAGTGCCACTCATTCTGGCACTGTTTAATGTGACTAACTTCAGAAATTATTACTAATCTCATATGGTTTATTCCCTAATGTTAAGACATTCTTATACTTCTTTATCTCAGAGCACCAAGAATAGTAAGAATTACATAGTAGACTTGAGTGACTGACTGACTAAGTAAATGCAGGGAAAAGATACTGGGTGAGGGCAGGGGCATGCTGCATAGGTGGCTTGGAAGCTTCTCAGGCAAACAAGGAACATTTTCTATGTAGTCTTATCCATCCATCCTCATTGCCACTTACACCACCACTACCTATGGAGAATTCAGGGACATTTTATAAATGAGAGAAGACAATGATACTCACCTAGTATCAGACTACAAGGAAAACAGCAGACATTCCTTCCTCCTTTGTACTTCTCTTCTAAGAAAGGGTAGAGTGCTGAGATGGCTGAGCTAAGGGAGAAGAAAAGAGGAATGAAAACTGGGCATGACTTCAAATTCCCAAACTCACTAAAATCTCTATATACTAACCAGGTATGACCCCCAAATCTTTTAGAAAGAGGTCAAAAAGAATACTTCCATTCCCTTTCAATGATCAGAAAGGACAGCTATGAACATTGGTACCTTGGAACTTATTTCTCATCCTCTAGAAACTTCAAAGGATACAACTCTAGTTTGGACTTGAAAACACAGAATTTGATTTTACAGTTTAGTCCCTCTAGAGCTGCAGATGCTCTCTATGTAATCAATCTATCTGAGCCTCAAGGCTTTATTTTATTAATTACATTTATTATATAGTTCATTAATAACAATAAAAATAATACAAATAATGGCAGCACATTTAAATAGTTTCTATTCTTAAAGTATTTTTCTTTTTCTTTTTCAATCAATGTAAGTAGAAAATAATTCCATCGCCCTCCCCTACTTGTTATAATAGACATACTGGATTCACTATCAAAGAGGTACCTGAAATCTTGGAGAAGTATCCCAGATGAAAGACTGGCTCCCAGGTCTTGATCATAGTCTCAACTCTGCCATCAACCACTTGTTGAGTTTTAGAGGGGACAAAATTTGACCTCCTAGGGCCTCAGTTTCCTCACCTGTAATATGGGGGCATAAGCCTTTGCCACCCTGGTCCTTCCTTACTGATCACAGGTAGGTTCCTGGGAAAAATTATAAGCAATTAGTCAAGAGCCCTCTTTCTCTAGAGAGAAAAACGACTCATTCATGTGTACTCCCAAAGCGGGACAGATAGGGGCTCTCTCAGTGCGCCAAGGGCTGCCAGAGTGTAAGCACCCAAGAAACAGACAAATGGAATGGTTTCCAAGGAGCGGGATCTCCCAGTCTCAAGGCTCCGTATCTACGCGCGGACCCTGCTTCTGCAGCGAAGCTGCGAGTGGCCTCCGTGGCTTATCCAGGTGGCCGAGCTCCGCGCCAACATCTCTCAACGCCGAGCACCCAGACCCCAAGCATGACCCAATCTGCCACTACCCTCCCCTCTCCTTCCCCGATTCATTCTTAACCTGGAAGGAAATCCGTGAAGGGCCCAGCTACAGGGGTGTCTTGGATTTCTAAGCTGAGAGTCGCTTCTCAGCCCCTGACCCCTAGCTTTTCTGCCACTGTTCCTTCAGCCACAGCTCTTCCTGTTCTTGTCCACCGCCGGCTTGGTCCTCCCAAGAATTCACGTCACTTACCGAGCTTCTGAGGAAGGACGGAACCAGCCAAAACACTCTCTCCACACAAACAATGGCCGCAGCCCGGCTAGACCGAAACGGAAGTTCCAGGCCTCAGAGTAGGCGCTCGCTGCGTTTCCATGACTACGGGAGAGGGCGGGGCGGGGCGGGGCGGGAAGCGAGAGCGCAGGAGAACGTGACTGCTGATTGGCCAGAAGAATCAAGTCGCATGGCGGCCCTTAGCTTCTGGCATTTCTGCGCTGGAGGGCTGTGCGCTCTGGCACTTCTGAGTCTAGGATGGGGAGTGGAGGCCCCAACGTTAAAGGAAGAGGATTACTCCAGGTGCTTTTAGGGCCCCATGAAAGGGAGCGTCGCTGCGGTTTCAGAGAAGCTGAACGACCAGTTCCGGAGAACTCCGGGACCGTCACGGCCCGCCGGGACCAAACTCCCGAACGGAAACCCGAGGAACCACCTGCTGTCAGGTCGCCTTTGGTTGCTAGGCGTGGTTGCGCCCGCTGTCCAGCTCCCCGGCCCTAGCCAGCATCACCCTGAACGTGAAGTTGGAGTAGCCCAGCCACTGAGAGGGCTTTTCAAATTACTTCTTGTTGCTCGAGATCCACTTCGTTTCTGGTCCAGTCGGGCTTTCCTCCTTCTTGCCTTCCTGCCAAGTCCCAGGGCGACTCTTCTGAAAACTCCAGGCAGAGAAGGGAAAGGCAAAGTGGGAATAAGATGAAATCGTGGGAAAGAGCCCCCTCCTCGTGTCCTGGGAGCGCAGAAAGAGTTCCACACGCCTGCTTTCTTGAGTGTGTTATATTAAGGAAATGTTTTAACTTCCTTAAGCCCTCTCTCTCAAACTTGGGCCGGATGAGTAGTATTCAAACATTTTATTAGCAAGGAACCTTCGGCAGAGTAGTCATTAAAAGCAAGGGACTCCTTGGATTCTAATCTGGCAGTGGCACTTATTAAGGATGTAACATTGAATTACTTAACCTTTTAGTGTCAGCTTAATAGACATAATATTAACAGGCATAATAATAGTAACTATTTCACGGGCTTGTTAGAATTAAATGAGTTAGTATAGTTAAAATGCTTTAACTGTTTTTTGGCACATAGGAAGTACTCTAAATGTTAACTATATATTTATGGTTATATGTTTAGCAGGGGTGGGCGGCCTAGAGCCAATCTTCCTGGGCCCATCAAACAATGAACTCCTGCATTTCTTACAACTCTGGAGACAACATTTTGAAAATTATTGTGCATGGACCTCTCCCTGGCTTGAACATTCAGAGACAATATGGAATATGGTATGGGTAAGAATGTGGATAACAGCATCAGAGCCCAGGCATGAGAACTTAAATGTGTCATTTCTTGAAAAGAGCCAGGACCTCAGATGTGTGGGCCTCCTAGGAGACCTGTATAAATTTACCAGGGTTCCTTGACTCCCAAGAGGCCAAGAAGAAGATGACACTGTAAGGTGACTGTTCCTGTGCTTAGTCTGAGAGATTATAAGGAGACTAGAGAGCAAAAAGATTTTATCCAGAGGCCCCCTGAAAGCAAATGACAGGCATCATTCTTCTATTCAATGGCCAACAGAAGTAGAGACCTCTTTGTTGTTTCCCATGTATGGGACTGCTGCCACTTAAAATATCCTATTAACTAGACCTGAACCTCAATGAACTGATGAAAATTAAAAAAAAAGAAAAAGAAAAAGCTAAGAGGGTCCACTTGTCATAAAAACAAATAGAATGTGCATCTGAAGAAATATACTTGCTGAAGTATAGAGGACAATATGAATAACAAAGAGCATCAAGTATAGCATACAAAAGATATTTTTGAATTAAATTAGTTCTGTATATCTTCCTAATTAAGCATTTTAGCAATTGAATTTGAGGAAAAACATGATCACTTTTGGGTCAAAATGTAGCCAATATGGTTTAGTAAAGGAATCTCTGAAAGCACAGGTGGTAAAAAAAAAAAAATAGAGATGGAAATCATGAAAAAAAAAAAAGATAATATGCTTAAAGGATAGATCTATGGGACTTAATATGAAGACACAAAAGTTCCAGAAGGAGAATAGTTTATGAAATTGAAGAAAGAAATGAATAACAAAATAATAGAAAATTGCTCTGGTTTGAATTTTTAAAGAAGGCTTGAATCTGCAGATCTAAAGAACTCACTACATTTCAGTCTGTATTAATGAGTAAAGACTCCCACTAGACATATAAAGGTATAATTCCTATACTGTAAGGGTAAAGAGAAAACTCATAAGCTTTCAGGCAAAAAGGGCAAATTATCTGAAAGGAAAAATGACACTGGACTTTTCATTTTTAATGTTGGAAACTAGAGAACTGTTCAGTAGCAGTATAGACTAGTAAGATAAGGGGGCTGCAATCCTTCAGCCAAAATATATCCTGACAAAAGAAATGTTTGAGGATTTGCAAGATTTCAGAGTCTGTATCACTCAGGTTTCCCCCATCTGAAGAAACAATTCAAGAAAAGATTCCAAACAACAAATAAACCCAAAACAGAGATACCCCACAAAAAATTATAGAAAAGGAAACAGACAAAGCCATGATATAAATAATAAACCTAAAGTAACATATAAAGGATACAATAAATCATCAGTCATTATGCTAAATTGAGTGGACTGAATTTTCCTATATAAAGGCAGAAACTGTCAGACTGGGTGGAGTAAGAAAATTCAGCCATATGCTATTTATAAGAAACACCAGGGAAATTGGTTAAAAAGATGCCAGGCAAACGGAAAGAACAACTAATTGAAGGTTAATTTAAGAACCAAAGAAAGAGATTGAACTTATATATTGATTAAAAAGCGCAATTTATGAAGAAGTATAATGGTAACAAATGTGCTAAATACATAGAGCAAATATGTGCAAATTTGAGAACTTCACAAAAATACAGTTCTATGGAAAAATTCAATATGTTTGTCTCAAAATTAGATCTAGGAGACAATAAGGTAATATAGAAGTTAAATAGTATAATTAATAATCTTGATTTAAGAGGTATATATAGAAACCTTATATTCCTGGAATACGGGATACATTTTTTTGTGTCCATAGAACATTTACAAAAACTGATTATGAGCTTTGCCATCTTCATCCCCAGGTGATGAATATTTTTAATTGTCCCGAGAAAACAAGCAATTGGATAATTTCCACTCCCCTCCTCACCACCATCCCCCACCAGGCATTCACACACTTTACCTGCATCAGTGCTGATTTGTTCTATCCCTTACTATGGATAAAAAGTCTGTGATCCTGGCTAAGAAACCTATCCACTTAGTCACTGGATTCCATCCATTCTTGCCCACATGTGGACCTAGCTCCAGCAACTCCTTTCTACAATATCAGTGTTTCCCTCTTTAGATCTTTCCCATCAACAATCAAGTATGCTGTCGTTTCTTAAAAAAAAAACAACTAGTGAAACAACACAAAACTTTCTAGGCTTTCTAGGACTCTGTCTTAGTTTGGGCTTCTATAACAGAATACCATAAATTGTGTGGCTTATAACCAACAGACATATTTTGCTTTTGGTTCTGGAGGTTGGAAGTCCTATATCAAGGCACCAACAAGATTTGGAGTCTGGTGAGGGCCTGTTTCCTGGTTTATAGATGGCCATCTTCTTTCTGAGTCCTCACATGGCAGAAGGGGCCAGGGAGTTTTGGGGGCCTCATTTATAAGGGCCTATTCAGGAGAGCTCTGCCCTCATGACCTAATCACTTTCCAGAGGCTGTACTTCCTAATGCCATCACACTGGGGATTAGGTTTCAATATATGAATTTTAGAGGAACACAAGCATTCAGTCCACACCAGGCCCACTACCCCTATCAGCTACTGCCCCATTTCTCTCTTTCCTTTGGAGCCAAGCTTCTTGAAAAAGTCCTTTATTGTCTTCAATTATTTTCTCCTTCCAGTCTTTCTTGAACCTCCTTCAGTTAGGTTTTCACCCACCCTTCCACAGAAATGACTTTTCTCAAAATTACTAGTGATCTTCATGTTGCTAAATCCAATGGTCAATTTTCAGTCTCATTTTGTGGCATCAGTTGAATTTGGCCCAATTGGTCTCAAGCATTTGGCACAATCTCTCTTTTTACCTTGAAACACTTTCTTCACTTGAATTATTAGATACCGTACTCTGCAGATTTTCCTCTCTAGATGGTTTTTTTCAGGCTCTTTTGAAAACACTTTTACTGCCCCCTCCCAGCCTGGCTCCCTCTCTGTGACTTCTAAATGGTAGAGTGACTCAGGGATCAGTCTTTGAGAGTTCTTGTTTCTATTTACTCTAACTCCCCTAAGGATCTCCCATGGCTTTTACATTCCACCTATATGCTAGTAACTCCCAAATTTATATCTCCTGCTGAGACTTGGAATTCTAATTTTAGAATCCTTCCTTGGCATCTCCACTTCAGTTTCTAACAGGTATCCCAAATTTAACATGCCTAAAAATGTGCTCATGAGACTCTCCCAAAGTTACTTCTCCATCTCATCTTCCAGTTTTCCAAACCAATATCCTGGACTCCTTTTTTTCCCCTTACATCTCATATCTGTTCTGTCAGCAAATCCTTGCAGTTATATCTTTAATATCCAGAATAGAACCAATTTCACAACCACCACTACTACCAGCCTAGCCCTAACCATCATTTTCTCTCATGTGGATTATTATAATAGCCTATTAACTGATCTCCTTGCTTCTGCCATTGCTCTACTCCAGTATACCTCATCAGGATCCAGGATAATTTTCTTAAAACATAATTGTGATGATTTACTTTGCTGAAAATCCTCAGTTGGCTCCCTAACTTACTTACAGTGATCTACATGGCTCTGTAAGATCTCTTTTTCCTTCCACTTCTCATTTTCTCCTCTATCTCTCTAACTCCATATTCCATTATTCTACTCCCTCATCCCATATAGACATTCTGGCTTAATTGTTTTCTTCACCTTGTCATGCTTGTTTACACTTTACTCCCTTCTTATATTCATGGGGTGCTACTGCTTTATTTATTTACTGTTCTAGGTGCTGGAGATAAAACAAATGAATTAAATAAATAAGAATTTTTATCTACTATGGAGCCATTATCTTGATGGGATTATGGAGGAGGGTATGGAGAGAACATCAATAGTCAATAAACAAGTAAGTAAAATTATTTATTGGATGAGAAAGTAAAGATGCAAAAAATGGAATAATATAATTCAAATTTTGTAACTCAGTGTGTGTATTTGTATATGTGATTGTGAGTTTATACAGAATGGAGGGAAAAACATGAAAGGATCCATATCAGAAGTTGATGTGTTGGATGTGAATTTTTTTTTTATTGGGAAGGACTGATGTGAGTACAGATAGGAAGAAATTGGAGGTCTATAAGACAGTCTCTCAAACTCTTGGCAAAAAAGGAATTCTACCACTTTTATTTTACTTCTATGCTTGTGGGAGATGAGGAAAGCGTTAAGTTCTTTCAATTTGACAAAGAAATACTCCAAGCATTTTTACCTTTTACTAACACAGATGTCATTTAAAATATTATTATCAGGGCCACAAATGAACAAGTAGTACAGTCACTCAGAATTGTAGACATTTTAGATGTTAAAGATCACTTTCACAAGGCATTGCTATAATTTCAACAGTCCAGGTATCTTCTAAGAGCCCTCTGAACAAACAACACTTCCAAGTATAAATTTATATAAACAGAAAATAGAAAAAGATAATAGCAGTATGAATATTTATACAGATATCCTTTATGGGACAACAAAGCAAGAGGAGATTTTGTTACAGTTTTTAACTTGCACCTTATATTAGTTTTATGAAGAAGAATAATGTTTCTCCTTCAAGCATGAGGAGATATCTTCAAAATGATTCTTATATGCCTTTTTGCTAGTAGTTATCCATTAACAAGATTACATTTTCATTTATATTATTTAGAATTTTATTAAATAATAAAAAGAAGGCCTAAAAAGTTATATTTTACCACAAGTAATAGAGAAGAGGCTAAAGAGAATTTTCTATAATAATAAAGTAATAAGGGTCAAATAATGTCATTTCTTACAGAATTTGCTTTCAGTGGAAAAGCTAAAATAAAAGAAAAAAGATTGCATTAAAATTTATGATATAATACTTAAACATTTATGTAAAATTAAATATGGTCAAGTATATGGAAATTAAATAAAAAATTTTAAATGTCTAATTTATTTCCATTAAGGTATAGTTTCAGGATCCTCAAGCTTCTAAAACTTGATTTATTTATCCCCTGAGTTTTTTATTTTTCTTGGAATAATTATGTTTTATTTCATGGTTTTATGGATATGTTAGAAATGATTCCAGATCCAAAACTTTTAACATTCATAACTTCTCTTAAGATGTATGTACTTGTGAACATAATATTCAACACATTACTTGAAGGCTATTATAAAACCAATTAATATAGTAGGTTGGAACAAAAGCAAAGACAGCATTTTACCTTTTCCCTTACTCCACACTCTTGGTTATTCTTTTGAGTTAGTTTTTATTATATATAAATTTTTATAATTTAGGCCTCTGATTTCTGACTGATTGAAGTCATTGGATCCATCTTGCTTACTAACATGCCTGAGCCCTTAGTATCAGCTGCCTAGAGTGTAGATTTGCTTAATGCCAATGAATACTTGTTCCTAATTTGCCAATAAAGTTTAAAGCTCTCCCTGAAGATTCCAGCTTGAGAAATGGTACCTTCAATGAGGTGATGGTCAACTCTAGAATCTCCCAAATCTTGTTGCTATGTGAATAAGAAAAGGGTTTTCAAATGGATTATCCTTGAAAACAGGAAGCCATTGTAACAGAATACCTATTTATCCATTTGATCCAGAGATCTCTCATCTGAGAATTAGATAATTCTAATCCCTAAAGCTGCTGGATCTATTAAATTCTAAGTCTGTCTTTAGGGGCTAAGGCCATGAATGTGAACCTAAGAGCAATGCTAGTCATATGGGATTTGGATGAAATTGCACTGCCCATAAATCATCAAAGTGACCATAATGGTTGATTTGACTCAAATGTTCCTCAAATATGTCAAGCAGGCTCTTGCCTGAGGGCTTCTGTGCTTGTATTTCTTCCTCTTGGAATGTTCCATCTTCCAGATGCCTGCATGGCTCATATGCTCACTTTCTGCAAATGTTACCTTAGCAGTGTCTTCCTTTTCCACTCACAGAGAAATAGGACCCTTCCCCTAATTCCCACACCCCAGCACTATGTCCCTTACCACACTGTTTTTCTCCACAGCAATGATCAACACCTGATATACTACAATTCATTATCTGTGCTCCTTCAATAGAATCTAAGCTTCATGGGGTGGGGGTGCTGGAGCACAACTAGATATTTTTACTCTAGAGAGGGTCCAGAAAACTGCCAGGCATCAAGCAAGTGCTCAATAATTGTATTGATTATTGCATGGATGAATATAGGGACACTGCTTATGGGAGCCACACAGTCTGGGAAAGGTCATCTGAAGCTAGAGTCCAGTTCCCTGATCCTGTCTTCCCCCCACGTTATTGTTCAACAGGAAAGGAAGGAGGAAGACTGTGTACCAGCAAGTGTGCTGATCCTTTATTGAACAATGTATCTTCTCCCGGAGGAAATGCATGGTAGACGGGGTCTGAGAAGTAGGGGGAAGGAAAGTGGGAGCAGCACCCTCGTGCCCCGCCAGCCAATGAGAAGACACAGTCACTGGCCCAGCCCGTGGATTTGCTCTGCCAGCAGGGGAGGAGGGAGACAATGAGTTAAAGGCCAAAGCCCAGTCCCGTTTCTCATCAAACAGCAAGTGCCTGTTATTCTTTTCGTTTCACATTTCCCTTTCCCTCTTTGACTCCTGCCTTTCAGCGCTGGGACTACTCAAGCTCACTGAGACCCAAGGTATGGTATGACCCTCCACTTCTCTAGATGTGTTTTGCCCGCTCCAAAATAGGGAGCTGGATTCTGTGCGAGCCCTTCCAGTGCCCACGATCTGTGTGGAAGCCGAGGAAAGGGACGCGGGCCTGTTCAAGAGCAGAAGCTGCCACCCCGCACGGTGGGGAATGCCGCTGGCTTTCGGGCCTGGCACGGGAGAGGCGACTTTCCAAGGGCGAATCTGTGGCCACTTGGGGGTGTGGGGGCGGGGGTCAGAGGCCAGAACCTGAGTTCAAGTGTGTAAAGAGTAGCCTGCGGGTGGAGACCTAGTGTGGCTTCTAACTCCCGTGCAGTGCTCGCTGCTTAACTCTCGTCAGTTAAGGTGGTAGGAATAGCCTCACTGTGACCGGTTCTGATACATTCAGGCACGCCCCTATCATCTCTGCCAAGGAGCAGGTGTTCGTGGTTCCATCAAAAGTCTTTTCCCGCCACCTGGGCTCTGCGGCTTTTCCTCCACCCTGGGCCTCCTCCAAGGCCCTTTCGCGGTTGAAAACAAACCGCCTAAAACTTTACAGTTCCTGTGCTCCACGCTACCGGTGTATGTTTCTCCTCCTCTTCCTAGCAAAGTTCCAAAAATAATAGCATATGCTTGCTCCCTGCGTCGGACATCCTCTGCCTGTGGTAGGTAATGTGGCTTTATCACTCCTGCTGCCTCTATTCCAGCAAAATTGCTGCTAAAATTGCGCTCTCTGTATGGAGGATTGTGTTTGATTAAGCTTGAGCCCATCCTCCGAAGTGAGGTATCACAAGAATGGAAGAGTAGGCACCACTTGTACTCGCCGTCAAATTGGCGCTGATTGATCAACACTAAGGTGCTCACACAGTAGTAATATTCTTTGAGGGTTGGGGATGGGTAAACTCACAACTAATGGACATGGTGAGTGTTGTAGCGGGGGAAGGGCAGGCTTCACAAATCATGGTTTTGGTGTGGCAAAATCATAACATGTAACCAAAATGTTTGTACCCCCATAATATCCTGAAAAAAAAAGTCACAAACTGCCCTAAACTCAAAACAGAACCATGGTTAACATATAGGTATATTTATTTTTTTTATGTGGAGGTTTTAATTTCTTAGTTGTAATCCTCATACTATTGCTATCTGTTTGCAATCCTGCACATATTGCATATTGCTGTATGATGAGGTCATTTTTATGACTGAAAAATCAAACGTTCTATATTTTGATGTATTTATTTTAATCACAATTGGATTCTTAATTTGTTGGCAATTACTTACTATTCTAAATAAACATCCTATGCACAAAGCTTTGTGTATTGGGGATTCTTTTCATTGAAAAATTTCCCAGAGAAGAAGGTACTGCTTGAGAAGTCATGCATGTTATTACAGGTCTAGGTAGTTGTGGACATGTAGCTTTTCAATTTTGGAGCAATTAACATTTACACTAACAATATCTGCTTCACTCCATTCTTATGGTATTGTTTTTTAAAACTTATTTTTTCCATTTTGATATTTGAGAAAGAGTATCTTCTGATTTGTATTAGTTTTGGTATCTGTTTAAGTTGGAACATTTTCTGAAATACTTGTTAGCCATTTACTTTTATTTTTCCTCTATGAATAGATTACTCACAATAAATTTGCTTTAATGCTATTTTGATCTATTTGGATCATGCCTTTCTGGTGATAAGAACCTTTTTAAAACCATATTTTAGTGTGAACTATAACTCTTATAGAAGAGCACATTAAACATAAATGTGCAGCTTAGTGGATGATTACTAAGTGATCACCCATGTAAATTATTACCAGGTCAAGGAATACAGCATTCATTACCAGCACCTAAGAGACTCGTGGGTAACCCCCCAAAGGTAACACCAAACTGACTTTTATGGTAGTTACTTCCTTACCCATAGTCCATTTGAAAATATACCTGCATCTATAAACAGTATAGTTTAGCTTTCTCTGTTTTGGTCTTTTTAAAATGAAGTCATACAGTACATGATCTTTTATGGGTTTGGCTTCTTTCACTGATTGTGAGATTTATCCTAGTGCCATGTAGCCGCAGATCATATACTTTCATTACTGTATAGGATTTTATTGTGTGAATTTATCACTATTTATTGGTTCTACTACATATAAGGAATTATTTTTACAAACAATGTTGCTGTAATTGTTCTTGCATATCTCCTGGTGTACCTATACACACATTTTTCTAAAGACTATAATTGCTAGGTTATAAGGTATGCGTATCTCCAATTTCGAAAAAATAACCATTTTAGAATAGTTTTTTTTAGAATTACAAAAAGTTGTTATATGCCTTTGGCCTAATTTCTCCTGTTTTTAACATCTTGCATTACTGTCGTATATTTGTCAACTAAGACAATTAACTGAGACAATTAAATTGCACTTAATTTGGATTTCACTAGTTTTTCCTTAGTGTTCTTTTTCTGTTCTTCAGTCCTGTCCAGTATACCATTTTACATTTTGTCTTCCCAGTCTCCTCTGGTCTGCGAAAGTTTCTCAGTGTTTCCTTGTTTTTGATGATAGCACTGGTCAGGTATTTTGCATGTGCCTCAATTTGGGTTTTTTGATGTTTTCCTTATGGTTAGACTAGAATTATGGGTTTGGGGGGCAGAATATCACAGTGATGATATTCCCATCACATCATCTCAATGGTACATACTATCAGCAATGACCTATGACTGATGATATTAACTTTAATTACAGCGCTGAGGCAGTATTTGTCTGGTTTCTCACTCAGAAGTTATTCCACTCCCTCTCTCACCTACCCTCATACTCTTCTCTTTGGAAGCAAATCATTAAGCATAGTCCACACTCGGGCTGGGGTGGGGTTAACAGCTACCACATAAAGTATATGGAATTCTTCTGTGAGGGAGATTTGTTTCTCGTTCCCCATTTATTCAGTTGTTTATCTAATATGGACTTATGGATATTTATTTTATACTTTGGGCTATAATCCAGTGCTACATAATTTTGGCCACTGGGAGCTCTTTCTGGTTGGATCCTGTGTCTTTTTTACATCTCCATCCTCCACTTTTCCTTAATTTCTGGCACTAAAAGATGCTGTAGGCTCACCTTGTATATTCACTGCCCTAGTCCAGAGTTACTATGTAATTTTTGAGATAATTCACCTTCCATTTAAGACGTAAACTTACATTTTTACTTCTCCATCCAGCTTTCTTTTCCAATCTCATTAACAAGAATAGAGGAAGGCATTATCAAAAACTGGAAAGGGCAGGAGGTTCAGAGAAAGATCAAAGTTGAGTTTCAGCTGTACCACTTTATTGGCTGTCTCTTTAGGCAAATCACCAAAGAAGAGATGAGAAACCTGAAGGTGCTGGGGAGAGTGTGGTTTAAGTGATTAACTGGAGTGTCCCTGCTGAATAAGAAATTAAATAAGGTCTTAAGATGCTGATAAACAAGGAGAAAACACAGGACTCATAGGGATTTTGTGGTGTTTGAAGAACTGTCACAATGAGAGTGAGGGCATGAAACTGATCAATTAACTGGATTGTGGGAGTTTGTAATTTAAGACTTTGAATAGTTGCTGATAAAGCCTGGGGTAAGAGCATCAGAGTGAACTGCTGAAGTATAGTAAGGTCATGAGAGTTAATGTCAAGGATGTGAGAGAATGATGTTTTGAATGAGCTTTAACAGTGAACTCACCCAGAATTACCATGGTGTTGGAAAGTAGATACGAAAGGAGCTTGCATTCTAGGAACAGACCCTCAGTGACTTTGTATGCATTTATGACCAGAGAGGACATGACAAGAAGAGGTAGATGGTGGCATATTCCAATTGCATGTGCTTCAAGAGTAAAATAATGTGTTGGTGGGGGTGCAAATGTTTTATAGGCTGAGATGGATATTAAGTGCTGGTTGAGGGGAAGGAGGGGATGAGGAAAGCTACCAATACTTAGTAGGAGCATGTTCTCTGCAAGGTGATATATGAACCCTACTTCATTTGGTCCATACCACGGTCCTCTGAGGTTGGCTCTCATATCCTCATTTTTCAGAAGAGTAAACTGAGGTTCAGAGAAATGAATTGCCTTTCTTTATTTTTTATAGCTCATAAGTGGTGCGACTGGGAATGAATCCTGGGAAGGTGGAAGAAATATACAGTACAGTGGTCTATATTAGAGGGACATTTTATGAAAGAAAATGTGTTACATAGGATATAAGTACTGAGCCTAAGGTAGTGGGCTTCAACAAATATTGGTTGAATTAATCTATTTTATAGGCATTTCATTTTCTAATCTTTTCTATATGTCCCATTTAGTCCATGTGCTTTCTAATTTTTCCCCACTGAGGCGTGAATACCGATCCACGGACATGATGACAGAATCATTGTCGTCTTCCTTCTTTTCTGATTTTGGGCTGCTATTGTATTTGGAGGAGCTAAACAAAGAGGAATTAAATAAATTCAAGTCATTCCTGAAGGAGCCCATGGAACCTGGGCATGGCCTAATACCCTGGACTCAAGTGAAGAAGGCCGGACGGGAGGATCTGGCTAACTTGATGAAGAAATATTATCCAGGAGAGCTGGCCTGGAATGTGACTCTCAAAATCTTTGGCAAGATGAACCTGACAGATCTGTGTAAGAGAGCAAAAGGAGAAATCAACTGTGAGTGATGCTAGGGGAAAATATGCGGGTAGGCAGAAGGAAATGTTTCCTGGACCCCATTGGCATGATTCTATAAGTGGGACTTGGGGATTAAGCCATTCTGTGGGACACAGGCTCCATGGTCATCCTGTGTATGGGGAACTTGTCGGATCATTTGAGGAACACTAAAGAGGCAGGAGGGTTTTGAGTACTGTTACTCAGCCTTGCTCCTTAAGGAGCAGTTAATTGGGGGCAGTTCATCCATCTTGTACCAATCAAAATGATCAAAGAAACTGAATGATAAGAATTGTTCAGTCTAGTACATTTATTTGCCTAACTACAAATAAAGTCATAAGTCAGGTGAAACTTTGACAAATCTCAAATATGACTTGATGTATTTGCCGAAATATGAGGAATGAGCTAAAAATTATTAAAGGACATAAGCCAAGCCAAGTTCTTTAGTCATTCCCAGGTATGAAATATTATAGACACAATTCCTTACTCATTTACAGGCTTTCTAGCTACAAAATACATATTCATTATCTACTTTGAGTCTCATCTATCTTTTTGAGGTCAACAGAAACTGTGGCTTACATTGCACCACTTACCCTAGAGTTATTAGGTGGTGAGAGGGGAAGGCAGGAGGTCTCCTACTTTAGTGTTGTTTGTACTGCACCATTTCTCCCCTCAGTAAAGCTGATAGAATCTGAGGCTCTGTTGGCTCTAGTGTCCTTAAATCCACATGGTTACAGAATTTGATCACTGAGGAGAATGCTGGCCCCTGTTCTGGCCATCACCAAGTTCTCCTGATTTTTAGTAAATCTCATGATCTTGTTGGAACCTGTTGCAGGGAAGGCTCGGAGCAAGGGACCAGAAGATGCCAAGGCCAGAGAGGCACAGGAAGATCAAGAGGCAGTGCTGGGTGAGTAGGTAGGCTTTTCATCAGACTTGGGAGGCATTTTAACTTTTGAAGCAGGATGGCGGGGTGTTTATCTCTTTAACCTTGTTAACTTTTTCTAATACCCCACTTATTCCCTGGATGCTATTCAAAAAGAATCAACAAATTGGCTCTCTGGCCAGAGTCACAATCCTGTTATTTCAGAGCCTCAAGAGAGCAGTATTTGGAAATGCCTGGTCAAAAGTTGACAATCTGATGCACAAAGGTATATTCATGTTTGTGTTTTATGGACTAAACACTCCCTGAGTTGGCAGGGACCTTTAGCTTAACACATTTAGTCCCTTCCTTTAGAGATGATGCTGTAATTAAGTTCCAGGAGTGAAGAACAACTAGTCCATATAAAATCTAGAACCAGGTCTTCTCAGTCTTCATTTCATTTCCCTTTGCCCCCACTTTGTTTTGAATACTAAAAAGTTTAATTTCAGTTTCTATAAATGGGATTACAATAGAAAGAACACTGGACCAAGTGAGAAACCTTTATTAACTCAGTTATATTACTTTCTAACAGGCCATATTATTTCATTCAAAAAAATAATTGAGAACTTGCTTCATTTTAAGCACTAATAAACAAAAGTATTTAAAGACCTGGAATATAACTTCCCACTCTGACCTTAATTCCTGATTCAATAAGGAAGTTTATTTTTGTGGCATGAGGGGAAACTAATGGCTATTAGTTTTCATTTTATTATTACTAAAAACCTAATAGCTATTTTTCTCATATGTGCAAATATTTGTACACAGCTAATTAAATATCTGAAATTTATTCCTTGACAATTTATGATAAAGGTAAACTGTACTTATAGAAACTTTGGAAGCTACAATAAGTACAAAATGGAAAATAAGTACAGCAATTACTGATCCTTCTCTCTCTGTACCAACACCGCTGTTTGAATTATTGTAGTTTCACAATAAGTTTTAGGTTTTGGTAAAGAGTATGCCCCTCCTCCCTGCCTTGCCAATATTAGTTTTTTCCTTCAGAATTTTTTGGCTATCATGTGTTGGTTTATTTATGTTGTGTTTTTTTTAAAACTTCACATAAGCAAAACAAGTTTATTTTTTAAGTATTCAAATATAATAACAGCATATTAAATGAGTTTCTCATTCTCCCCATTCTGCATCCCCAATCTTGCTATTTAGAAACAACCAGCATTAACATTTTGATGCATATCCTATAGATTTTGAGACATGTAAAGTTCATTTTTTTAGGACAGGATTATATTGTACACATTTCCTTGAAACTTGATTTCTTTTTCTGTTATAGACTATTTTTTTGGATATCAGTAAATATAGTGTTACCTTATTATATTCAAAAGTTGCATAGTATTCACTTATATGGTTGTATTCTTTCATTTTTGTTATTCAAATATATTTGTTGGTACTTGTGTGCAAGGAGATGTGTTCAACATTGGGCATGCAGATATAGTCTCTAACCAAGTGCATGATTTCTTTAATAAGTAATAAACTACAGCTTGTGACATGTGCTATGAATGAAACATATACTGTGTTTTAAGAATATATGAAAGGGAGAACTCTTCTAGCCTTGGGGTTCAGAGAAGGCTTCCCTGAGGTGGTTTCATTTAAATGGAGATCTAAAGGAGGAATCAGACTTAACCAGGTAAAGATGAACTATATTTTCTTTCTACTTGGATCCCTAGGATTTTTTTCTTCAAAACATTCTTTAGGCTATACTTCAGTGTTCATTTCCATTAACTTTTTAATTGTATAAGGTAGATTATTTTGAGCTGTAAATTCAGGTCTGTCTCAGGGCCCTCTCTGTTATTGTTAATTGTTGCTTCTGTTCTTTATTATTTTTTTAAATCTGGTTGACAATTCTGTTCATCACATCTGTCAACTTGTTTTTCCTTTGTGGAAGAAAAGTACAAAGAAAATATTTCTAGAGCAAATTTAATTTTCCATCACAAATTTATTTTTCTGAATTGTGAATTCAGGGATTTTTGGGTTTTTTCTTTTTTTTTGTTACAACTTCTAGTACAGGTTTTAAATATACAGCAATAAAAAAAAATATATACAGCAATATTTTTGTTTGATTTACATTTTTAAAAAATCTAAACCAGCTTTTATTTCAGCCTACATTATTTCTTGTTCCTAATTCCACGTTCAATGTTCTTAACATTGCAATTTATAGAATTTGTCTTGATGATGTGTGTCTTTGCTTTTTTTTTCCCCCTCCTGCTCCATTCTTACTGACTTAGATGATAGAACAGAATACAGAATTCAAGTAAAGGAAAAATTTTGCATGCCATGGGATAAGAGTCCTTTGCTTGGAAAACCTGAGCATCAGGAAGTTACTCAGGAAAATCGAATATTTTTAGAACAGTTGTTTGATGTGGATGTCAGAACTGGTGAGCAGCCACAGATGGTGGTGCTTCAGGGAGCTGCTGGAGTTGGGAAAACAACCTTGGTGAGAAAGGCAATGTTGGATTGGGCAGAGGGCAATCTCTACCAGCAGAGGTTTGCCTATGTTTTTTATCTTAATGGGAAAGAAATCAACCAGCTGGAAGAGAAAAGCTTTGCTCAGTTGATAGCAATGGACTGGCCTAGCACAGAAAGCCCCATTGAAAAGATCATGTCCGAGCCAAGTAGCCTCCTCTTTATTATTGATAGTTTTGATGAACTGAACTTTGCTTTTGAGGAACCTGAGTTTGCGCTGTGTGAAGACTGGACCCAGGAACACCCAGTGTCCTTCCTCATGAGTAGTTTGCTGAGGAGAGCGATGCTCCCTGAATCGTCCCTATTGGTGACAATGAGAGTCACAGCCTCTAAGAGACTAAAGCCTTTGTTGAAGAGTCACTACCGTTATGTAGAACTACTAGGAATGTCTGAGGATGCAAGAAAAAAGTATATTTACCAATTTTTTGAAGACGAGAAGTTGGCCATGAAAGCATTCAGTTCATTAAAGAACAATGAGATGCTTTTTGGCATGTGTCAAGTCCCTCTGGTGTGCTGGGTCGTTTGCACTTGTCTGAAGCAGCAAATAGAGAAGGGTGGTGATGTCACATTGACCTGCCAGACGACCACGGCTCTGTTTACCTGCTACATCTCTAGCTTGTTCACCCTGGTAGATGGACACTCTCCTAGCCTGCCCAGCCAAGCCCAACTGAGTAGTCTTTGCTACTTGGCTGCTAAAGGAATATGGACTATGACACATGTGTTTTACACAGACGATCTCAGAAGGCATGGGTTAACTAAATCTGGTGTTTCAGTTTTTATGGATGTGAATATTCTTCAAAAGGACATAGAGAATGAAAACTGCTATCTGTTCGCTCACCTACATGTTCAGGAGTTTTTTGCAGCTATGTTCTATATGTTGGAAGGCAACTGGGTAGCTGGCGGCTATTCCTTCCAGCCTTTTGAAGATATGAAGCTGTTACTTGAAAGCAAAAATTATGAAGACTCCCATTTGACACAGATGAAGTACTTTTTGTTTGGCCTTCTGAATGAAGATCGAGTAAAAGAACTGGAGAAAACTTTAAATTGTAAACTGTCACTGAAGATAAAATTGAAGTTACTTCAGTGTATGGAAGTATTAGGAAACAGGGAATATTCTCAATCACAGCTGGAATTTCTTGAGTTGTTTCACTGTCTGTATGAGACTCAAGAGGAAGCATTTATAAGCCAGGCAATGAGGTATTTCCCAAAGGTTGTCATTAATATTTGTGGAAAAAGCCATTTGTTTGTATCTTCGTTCTGTATTAAGCACTGTCGAGGTTTGCGGAGCGTCAAACTGTCTGTAACTGTGGTATGTGAGAAGATGGTAAACAGAAGCCTCCCAGCTGAAACTTGGTGAGTATGTTAGGTCCGTTTCCTGGAAGTGCCCTGTCGGGAAGTGAAGGAAGTAGATTTGGTCAGAGAAAGGTGGTGTTTAGCTGAGGTCCCAGAGTCGGGATAACCCTTCAGAGTTGTTCCATCTTGAGGCAGGGAGGCGAAGCATTTCAACCCCTTATTGACCAGTAGAGGCTGCTGGTGAAAACTGGACAAAAACTTCCCTGAGGTGGCTTCCTTGGCCTGAAGGCAATTCCAGGCGAGAAACTAGGTTAAGAGCTCTCAGCTGTCAACATTCCCAACAACTTTAACCCTCCCAGCAACTCAGGGGAATGAGTGCTTCAGTTCTTAGAGAAGAAGGTGGTGTAGCACAAACTTGCATCTATTATAGTAAGTATATTTAATTTCTAAAACTAATGTCCTCCGGAAGAATAAGGGACTGGAACTGTCTTGCTGAACCTGGGTTACTATCATCTGTCTGTGCTATATTTCTCTGTACTTTACTGACCTAGCTCACCTTCCCTTTTGCCTAGACATAGGCCAACCTTTGTGTTGTAGTTTATGAAAGGTATCAGCCCTTTAATGCCTAACTGGAGATAGTCAGAGGTTAGTAAGAAATAGGTGCTGAATGGATATTTTTAAAAGAAGAGATGAACCTTCAGCATTTTACGTATATTATTCTGCCCTATCCCCTTTCTCCAGTCACCTTTTCTGACTCATCTATTAAAAAATGCAGGGAAAGAAATAAACTATGTAATTCGTTTTAAGATTTAAGTAAAATTTATTGAAGGCTAACTATGTGCTAGCAAACTGAGTATTTAACATATTATCCATTTTATCCCTGGTGGCAAATGTAACTTAGTTTTAAGATTTATGAAACTGAGAGAGAAGTTTACCTAGAAAGTAAGTACACTGTTCTTGATTCAATCACACCTCAAATAATAGCTAACATTTGCTGATTTCTTGCCACATACCTGACAGTCTGAGTCCTTGAAGTCCTTTCATCTTCTAAAGGTCTTAAGTGGTAGATGCTGTCATTTCCAATTTTTCTTATGGAAAAAAAACTGAGATACCAAGAAGGCAAATAACTTGACTAAGGTTGCACATCTGATTTTGTAAGTCCTTGGTTTGCTAGCTTTACCCAGGCTGTCTCATCACCACCACATACAACTGTAGAAGCACCACTCTTATAAGAGCATACATTTTATTTCTCTCTGAACTGTGGGAGTAGACATTATGGGTAGGGATGCTATGACTTTTATCCTCATTGGGAGGTTGTGAGTGATATTTAGTCAGTCTTCTTAATTCTGACTTCAGAGTTATTTTAAAAAGATGTGCTTGAACCCAGGGCATTAGAATGTCTTTCATGCCTATTAATAAAGGTTAGAAAGGTATTCTGGCTAGATTGCCAGTTCTCCTGCTAGCCTCCCTCACCTTTGTTGTAGAGTCAAATAATGGAGTTGGCTTTGCTGCTAAAATTAAAAAGGAGTCTTAGAACCCAGTGTCTTAAAAGAGACAGTGTAGGTGACTTCAGTCTCTTCTATCACATATTATAACTACATTGTAAACTTTACAAGGGCAGGATCTCTGTCTTGTCATTTTATCAATAGTATTTTCACATAAAGCACTTGAATATTTGAGTGAATGATTTATTATCTTGTTTGTACAAATTTAAGACCTCCAATGTTACAGACGACCAATCTTCAATGTCATTCATTCCAATTTAAGGTGCAGGAACCAGTGTGTATTGGATAGCTATTATGTATAATGCAACACACTAGGCTTTCATATATTTTAATATATAAAATAATGATTGTTAGGAACACTTGCAACATGAGACATTTTCTAAACATTTCCTATAGATTGCTTTACTGAACTTTCACGGTAATTCTGAGGAATAAATACTATTATCTTCATTTTTCAATGATGGTGAAGCTGAGGCTCACATCAGTTAGTAAATTTGCCAGAATCACCTAGTGAGTAATTTTAGTGAGTGGGAGAGCTGAGTTGGGATACGCTTATGTTTCTAACCACTGGGCTGTCCCTTGGTTTTATTCCTTATTACTTTTTTATTAATATTTATAATGAGCGTATTGATGATATACCTAATAATTAAATCATCCAGTATTTTAAAGTTTACAAAGTGCTTTTGTGTCTCCACTAAAATTGACTGTTAAGTCCACAAACCCTATGAAGGGAGATGACATTTCCATTTTATAGATGAAGAAAATTTAGGATATCAAAGAATTAATATGACTTCCTTAAAATAACACAGCTAGTAAGTAGTAGACCTGGGGCTCAAGTCTGTGGTTCTTAATTTATACCATATTATACCTAATGTCTACCTATTAATCTTAAGATTATTTTTTGTGGTCATGTAGTATTTTTCTTCTTGATGCTGGCTCTTCATGTATTTGAAGTCTTCTCTTTTGTCCCTCCTTAATCTCTTCCTCCAAAGTGAAGCCTCTCTGGTTTTTATTTTGTGTGTGTTGAGGGAGTGGATAGGAGGTGAGGGGGCTATCAGGGACATAAAGCTTCTGGTGAGCTCAGAGGAAGACTTCTTGGTAGATTGTGCCATGCTAGGGCTGCAATGGATGTTCTTACAGAGTACACTTACTTTTACCCCATACCATCTTTGTCGGATACCTGCCTACACTGAAATAGACTCACTGGTCTTTTCTTTTTTCAATTATTTAGGCAAAGGGATGGTGATCGAATTACTCATTGCTGGCAAGATCTCTATTCTGTGCTCCATACAAATGAACGCTTGACAGAATTGGACCTGTGTCATAGCAATCTCGATAAATTAGCAATGAAGATCTTTTGTCAAGAACTAAGGCACCCAAAGTGTAAACTGCAAAAACTTCTGTAAGTCTGACATGAAAAAAAATTCAATAGAGTTATTCCAGTTTCTTTCTTTGTCTCACCTACTTGTTAGGAGAAGCCAATAGTAAACAAATACTTAAGATTCATTGTGTAAAATACTCAAAGTGATGGAAACGTCTGGGGACATGGGAGCTTCACTAACTTGTTCTGGAAAAGATTCCACAGAGTGTAGTAGCTGTTGACATGGGTTTTTCAGGCATGACTAGGAATTTTCTAGAGGAACAAGAGCACAGCTAATTTTAGGCAGATCAACAAAGCACATTCAAAGACATGTTCTGGAACAATTCTTTAATTTTTTATATTAAGGAATAATTTACACTTAATAAAATGCACAGATATTAAATGTTCAGTTTGTTGAGTTTTGAAAGGTATAAATATCTATATAACCAACACCCAAAAGAAGATAGAAAATATTTCCATCACCTCACAAAGTTTCCTTGTACCCCTTTGTGTTTAGTACTCTCACCCCATCCAGTCCCAGAGGCAATCATTTTCTAATCTGTCACCATGGGTCAGCTTTCTCTTCTTGGAAATCATTTAGAATGATTCATACAGTATGCATTTTTTTTTGTGTACATCTTCTTTTGCTCATCAAAATGTTTTCTAAAGTTTATGCATGTTGCACATTTCAATAGTTTTTTTATTGCTGATTAGTATTCTGTTGTGTGAATGAATATACTATAATTTGTTCATTTTTTATAATAGATTCCTGATTTAAATAGATTTAGATTTAAATAGAAATAGATTTAAATATTGTGAATTAATGTTGTTATTGTATATGTGGAATAATAGCCCTGGGTAACTTTTGGTAGTTATTTCTGGGATGAAGAGTTAAGAGGCTCCTTTTCTGTATTCCTGATGTTATCACCTTCTTTTCTTTAATCTTAAAAAAAAAAAAGTTTAGAGTGTCAGTTATCAGGATATAAATGGAAATCAAATTTTTAAGCCAATTGTTTTTCTAAGTAATGTCTTGAAACTCAGATTTATGATCTGACCTGGGATATGAGAAACCCAGAGTGGGTTGAAAGATGAGATAGGATAAAAGAATATTCTTACAATATCCAGAATTAGATTAGAAAAGAATGGGATGTTGTAACCAGGGACAGAGATGATTTTGTAATTCTTCCTGAATATTTTTCTTTCAAAGGTTGAGATCTGTCACTTTCCCTGTAAATGGTTTTCAGGGTATCTCCAGTTCTCTGATTCACAACCAGAATCTGCTGCATCTTGACTTGACAGGGAGTGATGTAGGGGATGATGGAGTCAAATCACTATGTGAAACCTTGAAACACCCAGAGTGTAAACTACAGAAACTGAGGTAAGTCTTGAGGTTTTTTTGATAATTGAGACATTTGTCTATCCAAATAGACTCTTACAGTCTGACCTTGCTGTTCACTTTTGTTATATGGAGTAGCAGGGATCAGTAGAATCAGGCTGATTTCCTCCTGCTAGGACTTCTCACTCCTTCCATGCCTTCACTGAAGAGCTCTCATTGTGTGGTTCTCTGTCTCTGTCTCCTAAATCTGGGGGCAGGGGAATGAGAGAAGAGCCAGAATTTATAAACATTTAACACTTTTCATATTTCAGTGCTGGAATAGATTCATTGTATCTTTGAACTCTCTTAAAAAAGAAGGCACTAATGGTAACCAGGGACAGTGCTGGGGCAGGCTCTGTTTTACTTGATTTTGAGGTCTGAGTTCTCCTCAATTTATAACTGTAGCTCAATGACCAGCCCAGAAAGTTAAGAAAGAACAGTGTGGCAGCTGTCAACTGTCAAGGCACTTGCTCACTATGACACACTATTGATCTTAGTGGTAACTTTTTGGCTGATTTTTCTTTCTCTATGAATGTGAAAAGAGTAGCAATCATATTTGGTCTCCACATAATGTAACAGGTTTTAAGAAAGATCTCATTTTCTAATAAAAGGCAATTAAATCAGTTGTTGACAAAACTAAAACAAAACAAAACCTTACAGTAAGTTTTACCTTGGAAGTTTTTGTAATCCCTGGGCTCAGTTCCTGGGGGAGTGATGCATGAAGGGCCAAGGCAGGTCTGTATTTGTGGGGAGAAAATTATATTCCAGGTATAGGAATAATAAGTGAAATATGAAACAGGACCTTCTTTGAATTTTTAAAAACTCTTACTCGTTTTTATAAGATGGAATTCACTTACAGCATGTCTGGGAAATTGGATAATTCTTGAATGTGGATTGAGTTCAGTTGCCAGTAGGCCATGTCAGAGTGAGAGATTTTACCAGATGGGTAGTAGTTTTAAGACATTATGAGGAGGAATTTTCTGTAACCTGCACCTCTTGTCTGGAACCCAGGTGAGAGGTATGTCACTGGTTCCTAAAAATAATACATATTAGTAGCAAAAAGCTATTAAATGGAGGAAAAGATGTTTTCTTACAGTGGGAGCTGTGGATCTAAGAAAAAGAAAGCCTTGGAACTTGACAGTTTAGCAGGACTTGGTAAGATCCTTCCTTTTTAGCTGAGGCTTGAATAATGTCTTCCACCAATAAATCTTCATATAGGCTCAGTTACCGGGCTTTCAAGAAGGAAGCTATGTGTATGGGTCGACTCATAGGGATCCTTGCACCAGTGAATAAAATGCTTTCGCAGAAGTCACCAGAGGTTCATAGTAATCTAATGCTGCATTATGTAGGACTGAATGTTCTCCAGTGTGGATGGCCACTGAGGAGTGACTAGTGGTCTGGTAGGCCTCCTATTAACATGTCACATGGGGAAAGTTCCAGCTTTCTATTTGCTTTAGATCTCATGTTTTAAGAGCCATGGACAGTATGGATGTCCTCCTTAGTCTGGTTTGTGCTTAAATCATGCTGAGCTCAACTTTTCAGAATTACATTTTGATGTTTTACTCTTCCTGATTCTAGATAATGTGGGTAGTGAAACGTGGGTAGTTCTATGTTATCAACTAGAGTATATCTTTGCCAGTCTGCCTTGCAAAATATGATCCCAGTTACTGTAAGAACTTAGCAAATTTGGAAATAAAATATCTTTTAAAACTTTAAATTGCCAAGACACTCAATTCATCCCCTGTACATAAGCATACTGAAAAGGTATATACAATCACTAATTTTCAAAGGAATGTTTAACTTAGTATTTACTAAAGGTTCCCCCTCAAGGAGGAGAGAAAGATCTACTCTCCTCATCTTGACAACTTTTTCCATCGTGTGGGCCTGATACTAGCTTAGCTCTTAAAATATTATGAGCAAGTAGGGGGAAAAAACAGAAGACAGATACCTTGGCATATATCAGTAGTTTCTAATTGTGCCCAGAATCTCTTAATTGGCATATGCTCTGTCATTTAGGGTTTACAAACGAGGTGAGGGAGTGGCTGTAGATTCCACCAACAGCCACCTCAAGGGAACCAAAATGGTATAAGTGCAAAACACTCTCTTCATCTTCAAAGATTGTGAATTAGAGAACTAATATTCCAGAAGGGAGAATCTAAAATAGTTAGATAGGAGGAATGTGCCTGAGAATGGCAGATATCCACAGCCTCATCATTCTATGTTATCAACTAGAGTAAAATATTGTATGACAGGTAGATAGCATATGAACTAGTAGAAAGTTTTGCTTCTCTAGGACTAAGGAACTCCCGTGGTTTATTACAGTTATTTACAATCATGAGGTGCATAATGAATCCTCCTACATATGACCAGATTTGGAGAAGTGAGAGTACACACTTCAAAACCAGAAGTTCTGCCACCTGGACAGATTACCCAGCGAACAGAGACTTGAGTTTGAAACTAAATCACCAGTCCTCTCTTCTCCATCACAAAATATTTTTTATTCATTAACTTCAATAAACCTTGATATGCATGCATACATGGCTTCACAGTCACACAAAATAAGACTTAAATCAGTGGTCCCCGACCTTTTTGGCACCACAGACAGGTTTCACAGAAGACGATTTTTCTATGGATGGGAATGGGGATGGTTTCGGGATGATTCAAGTGCATTACATTTATTACAGTCAAATCTCTCTGCTAATGATAGTCTGTATTTGCAGCCACTCCCCAGCACTAGCATCATCAGTTCAGCTCCACCTTAGATTATCAGGCATTAGAGTCTCATAAGGAGCAGGCAGCTTAGATTCATTGCATGCGCAGTTGACATAGGGTTAGCGCTCCTATGAGAATCTAATGCCTCCACTGAACTGACAGGAGGTGGAGCTTCTGTGCTGATGCAAGTGAAGGGGAGCAGCTGTAAATATAGGTGAAGCTTTGCTTGCGGAGGCAGCTCACCCTCTGCCATGCTGCTTGGTCCTTAACAGGCTAGTGACCAGTACCGGTTACTGGCCCAGAGGATGGGGACCATAGGTTTAAATTAAATATAATGAAAAGGTTTAAACTTTAACTTTTTAAGCAGAAAAATAATATGGAATATAAGACAATATTAATTTTGCTTTCTTAATTTGAATACTGTGTAGAAAAAAGTGGGTTAACAAATTGTGTGGTAAGAATATAACTTATTTTCTTTCTTTGAAATTTAACTTCTAGAAATCTTTAGATAAACATAAATTGCTTACTAATTTTTAAAATAGTTCAAGGTTCAAAATCAGATAAGTTTGGAAAACTAAGTTAACATTAAGGATAATATAACCACTGTTGATAACTAGGAATATAGCAAAACAATATGATACTTTAAAACTTGACCCAGACAGTATAAAATATTTACAATATTTGCTGATTCCAAGATATATAAGATTCTAGTTTATAAAGATGCTGGTCATTTATTTAGCTCATTTTAATTATATGCCCATATATTTATGTACTTTTAAATATTAATATAAATAATAATTAGATGCCCAACAAGGGAATTGTAAGAGATATAAAAAATTCTTTAATTTAGATTTCTTGTTAAAGAAATAGAGCCTTAAGTGATCTAAAAAACCATGTTTGCATTTTTATTTCTTACTGTGGTAAAATCAGGGAGGAGGCATGTAGCTATCATTTAAATATCAAATCACAGAACAAATTAATTTATGTAATGATTAACCTTGATTTAGAATAGGCCCATGGAGCCTATCCTATTAACTCAAAGGCTCCTTCTCTTGGAAACACCATTTCTTTGTCACCTGTGGTATATTCATATTGAATCTTAGGCAACAGAGAGCTTCTGCAACCATATTGCTTCAGCAATAACTCTCTCCTTTTGTCTCTCAATTTCTAATTCATGTCAGAAAAATAATTTCACTCAAACAATTATAAAATTCTTTTTTTTGGAAACCTGGAAATTATACATCTGCATAAGAGAAATATGTGTCCACACAGTTGCTAGGAGATCCTGTAGAGTGCTTGTCTCCGGGAACAGTAGTTCCTTCTTCCTGAGGAATGGCCCCTTTCTCAAGTGATGTTGGTGTTCTGATCCTTAGTCTTTTAGCAGCACAGGAGAGCTTACTCCACTAGGGCTCAACTCATAAAAGAAAGCTCCAGCCTCTTGCATCAGATAAAATTCTCCCCTAACTCTCAAACTTGATAGCTTATTCTGGATAGATGGATCATGGATTCCTTCCACTGAATCAACAGCATCTAGGACCACCTTACGGACCTATATCCAATGACAGCTGGTCAGAGCTACAGACAGCAATCAATAAGGACAACAAAAAGGATAAAAATTATAATTTGCTTGCTTTTCAGGGGCTTTGGGAATTTCCAATCAAGGGCCTCGTTTTAGTGGTTCTGTTAAAAGACAGTTGGGCTGATTCCTCAGAAGGACCTAATGTAAGATATAAGCTCATCTCTCTCCTCTGTTTTGGTAGCTCATATTTAGGGGGATCAGTTTGGAGCCACAGTCCTCAGCTTTTAGTTTCCCTTTTGATCGAATCACTGTTGACTGATGTTAGACATTAACATAAATAAGACCTCCAAACTCCAGAAAAACAGAGTTATATATTTTTTGTTACTTTACGCATGTGAGGGGAGAGTGCCAATGATCTTTTTTCAATATTTGTAAAATTTTGGAATTCAGCAATAGCAATTAGAACATTACAAGAGTGACACATTGTTAAATAAGATAATTGGTATAAATATCTGACTTAGTAGTAAAGGGTTGTTTTCACAAGATATAGCAACAATTTCTAAAGTCTAGCCATAAGATTTCCTTACTATGATAAAACAAATTATTTTTATAAAATATTTTCTGACTATGTAGCTATAAGGGAAAGAGAGGACTTTTTTTTTTTTTTTACACAATTTAGTGTGGCATTTATTACATACACAGTGTTGTACAAGCATCACTCCTATCTTGTTCCAGAACATTTCCATCAACCCAAGAGGAAACCCATGCCCATTAAGCAGCCATGCCTCGCTCTCCTCCATTTCCCAGCCCCTCGCAATCACTAGGCTGCTTGTTGTCTCTATAGATTTGCCTGTTCTGAATATTTTACATTCAGTATGTGACCTTTCGTGACTAACCTCTTTCATTAGATAGGTTCATCTTCTTTGTAGCATGCTATCAGTTCTTCATTCTTTTTATGACTGAATAATATTCCATTATATGGATATAGCACGTTTTATTTATCAGTTAATGGACATTTGGGTTGTTTCCACCATATTTAGGTTATTTTAAGGGTAGCACCTATGCACCCTCTCTGATTCCTCAATCTATTGGGATCTAATTTCTTCCCTAAGAAGAGTAATAACCAGCAAAGATGGTAGCCAACAGTTATAGTGAGCTCGCACTATGCTAGGCATCCTGTAGTGCCCTTTGCAAGCATGGTCCTATTTAATCTGCATAGCGTGGAAGCCTGGGCAGTTTGGTCTTACCGCAGGCGACGCAGGAGAGGGCGCAGGGCCGAACTCCAGCTCAGACATAGTTGGCTCAGGGGAGCCCCTCACTCACGTTGTGTCTGTCCTGAGAGAGGCTCTGGGCATAGTGTGCACAAAAGCGGCTTTGTCAGTAGCCCTTTGAGGTAAATATTATCATCATTCCCGATTCATATTTAAGGGAAGTGACAGTGAGAATTAGAGAGTTTCTGTTTCTGTAACGTATTTAAGATCATACATCTAACAAAGAAGAGGAAGCTGGAGCTTGAAGGCTGTTTTTAAATGAGGCTAAGATTTATCAAGCGTTAAGAGGTCCCATAGCAGAAATTCAGTTAGCACTAAGAAAAAAAGAAGAAATGAAGAAACTCAAACTTGTAATATGGAAAGGATAAGAGCAAAATAGATTATGAACAGATGGACTAATGAGCATTTAATATTTATATCTACAGTTAAAAACATTTTAAAATGTTTTCAGTGCTATTTATATTTTTCCTTTATAAATGAGATATATTTTCTTTCATTTTTGTTTTACATGTGTCCAGATATTTGCAAATAATATTGCCTATTTTTAATTGGTGATTATTTATTACCCTTCAGATTTTCCCCCAAACATATGCTTGAATTATGAAATTAAAAAGGATTTAGACATTTGAAATACCCTTATTTAAGACAATCCATTTGGTATACCTCTATCATATAATTTCCAGTGCGTTAATTTAATCTGGGATTACAGAGAATAGATATTTTTGTACTTTAGACTCTTTCAGAATTTTTGACTTTCTGATCTTGTCAGCATACATGAATATAATGATTATTTAGACTTAATTCTATATACTTAATTTATCAATGTATACTGCCATTTTTCTTCTTAAATTCATCTTCCCCACTGTAAAAAATCTTAATTTTGATTCATTGCATTCTTAGCTGGTATAATTTTAAACTAATGTTTTCATGAAATGTGTATATGGTAGGTATATTTTGTGACCTCCTTTATATCCTTTAATTGCCTTCTTACATGTATGGCAACTTACCTGGGTCTTAGGTCTCCACCTTGTTCTCAGAATTTTGACTTTGCTATATTATTTTCTAGTGTTTAATGTTCTAATGAGAAGTCTAAGGATAACCTGATTCTTCAATATCTTAACTCACTTCCCATCTCCCCAGTTTGTTGGTACTTTTTTTTGTTATTAGTGATGTCAGGATATTTTTCATTTTTGAATGAAAGTACCTTTTCATCTGCTGGCAACCTCACCCCTCCCCTGCCACTTTTCTTCTCAGAGATGGTTTCTTTAAATTTGATTTTTAAAGTGATTTTGGTTATTTTCTTCATCTCTCTGTTTTTCAAAAACATCTAATAGTCATTGGTTGTAGCTCTTTGTCTACTACTTATTTTTTGGCATTTTAATCTTTTATTCCTTCCTTTTTGGAGAGTTTCTCAACTTATTTTCATTGACTTGATTTTGCTCTTTATTAAACTTAAATCCAGTGCAGATTTAAATTTTCCCTGGTTTTTAATTTTATTGCACTCTTTTATCTTAAATCTGTTCTCTTTCTTAGTCTGATCTCTACTTGTGGTATGCTACTCTGGTTTCATAAAGTCTGCATCTTCCTATATACATAAACTATAAAGCAAATTTTTCTAAACATTTTCTTCTATTTCCTAGTTCTCTGTTTTTCATATATGTGTGTATTTTCTGTCCATTAGTGTAATGCTCTTTTTCTATAAAACTTTAACATTTTATCCACAGGTCCCATAATATTGGGGTCTTATTCTGTTTAGAAGATCTCTATTTAAACACAATGACAAGATTTCTCTTCTTTCCCTAACTGCCTGCTTGGTTGCTGATTACAATACCCTTCTGATTTAGTCTGCTCAGGCTGCTAGAACAAAATACCACACTCTAAGTCAGGCGTCCTCAAACTATGTCCTGCAGGCCACATGCGGGTGTTTTTGTCCGTTTGTTTTTTTACTTCAAAATAAGATATGTGCAGTGTGCATAGGAATTTGTTCATAGTTTTTTTAAACTATAGTCCGGCCCTCCAACGGTCTGAGGGACAGTGAACTGGCCCCCTGTTTAAAAAGTTTTAGGACCCCTGCTCTAAGTGGCTTAAACTTATTTCTCACAGTTCTGGAGGCTGGAAGTTCAAGAGCAGGGTGCTAGCAGGGCTGATTTCCTCTAGCCCTCTCTTTGTGTCCTCACATACATGTGCATATTTTGTGCGTGGCCTTTTCTATGTGTATGCCAACTGCTCCAGTCTCTTCCTTTTCTAAGAATACCAGTACTGTTGTATTAGGGCCCCACCCTTATGATTCATTCAACCTTAATTACTTCCTTAAAGGCCATATTTCCAAATACAGTCACATTGGGGATTAGGACTTCAACATAGGAATTTTGGAGTGACACAATTCAGTCCATAACACCTTTTCAGGGAAAGTTGAGTTTTTCACCCTTAGGCCATGTTCTAGATATAATTCTGAACTTAGGAGGGAGCTTCTCCTGTTCCTACCTCTATATACCCTGATTTTGATCAAGAGTAACAATTTCTGAGTGATTCACATTGATAAGTCCTTGATTAAAAGGAACATTTGTTCTGTGAAGTTTGGATTCAGTCAAAAGGCTGCACTGAAGGATCTGGAGGGTCACATGTGGCCCTGAGGCCTTAGGTTACTCACCTCCAACCTAGAGCAACTCCAAGTGCCCTGGGTGCTGCTGCTGCTGCTGCTGCCTGACACTTACTTCAAATAGCTGATGTCACTTGCAACCATATATATGCAAGGCACAAGTTGTCACCAAACAGTCTCTCAAAATATTTTGAAGAGCTCTACATGCACTTTTTCTGCTTCCCTTCCTCTTTTACTTTATTTGAGAAACTATTTTATTTATGATTTATTTCTTGTTTTCACTCTTAAGGACTGGGCTCTTCAGAAAACATGATTTGACTCCCATGAATAAATGAGCTCATGGAAGACACAGCTTTTGCTCTTGACTTTCTGCCCATCTCTGTTCTGTTTCAGAAGTTGGAGTGTACAAGGGTACAATCATCCTTCAAGACATCTTTTTCTAACTTGTAGTTAGAGGAAACTGAGATTTAAAAATATTATTATTTAAAGATATTTTTAAATGCTTCTATATGTATTTTCAAAGGGAATTGGAGAGGTGAGGGTGGGAGAAACAAGCTCTCTTCCCTCTCCTCCTTAACTCTCTGGCAGAGCCTCATACTCTAGTTAAATAACTCTTTCTATGTAGAAAAACTGGATTTTTTAGGCAGAGTCCTCCAAAAGACTGGGAACCTCTCACTCTCTGGCTGGAAGAGTGTTGGTTGTAATTCTTCTCCAACTAGTGGTCATTTCTGTTTTTCTGTATTGTTTTCCAGGTTAGAATCCTGCAACCTCACTGTAGTTTGTTGTCTAAATATATCTAAGGCTCTCATCAGAAGCCAGAGCCTGATTTTTCTGAATCTGTCAACTAATAATCTACTGGATGATGGAGTGATACTGTTGTGTGAGGCCCTAAGACATCCAAAGTGTTACCTACAGAGACTGTCGTGAGTCTGTTTTGTTTTCTGTAGAGTCATTTTGTTCAGTTCTGTATAGCTTAATTATGATCAGATGGGGAAACTGCTTGGGTCATGATACTGACTCAGTTATCAATCATGCATGTGCTCTACATGCACCCTACTTTTCTTCCTCTTTTTCCCTCCCTTTTTACTTAACTTTTAGACATTTTTGTTGAGACAGAGTCTCCCTCTGTCACTCTGGGTAGCTCACTACAACTTCAAACCCTTGGGCTCCAGTGATTCTGCTGCCTCAGCTTCCCAAGTAGCAGCTGGGACTGCAGGCGTGTGCCACTACACTGGGCTAATTTTTTCTAGCTTTTTTTTTTGTAGAGACGGGGTCTTGCTCAGGCTGGTCTCAAACTCCTGACCTCAAGCCATCTTCCCACTTCTGCCTTCCAGAGTGCTAGGATTACAGATGTGAGCCACTGTACCCAGCCTCCTTTTAGATTGACCTCTTATTTTCATTCTTTGCTAGGCTTCTCTTCTCCCCTCCCCTTCCATTTTGTTTCATCATACCCTGTATACAGCTGCAGTAGAACTCATAATTTAAGTAGGTTTATTGAGATTGATTCTGTAGGTGACCTGTAGGGTCACAGCTAATTTTAGCAACAGCTAATTTACCTGTGAAGGAGAGGAGAAGCATGACCTTTGGAAATTGACAGATCCCTTCCCATCTGTGTTCTTCTTTCAGCTTAGAAAGCTGTGGCCTCACAGCAGCTGGTTGTGAGGATCTTTCTTTGGCTCTCATCAGCAATAAAAGGCTGACACATTTGTGCTTGGCAGACAATGCCTTGGGAGATGGTGGAGTAAAGCTTATGAGTGATGTCTTGCAACATCCAGGGTGTACTCTACGGAGCCTTGTGTAAGTGTCTTCTATTTTCATCCTTCTAATATAATATACATTTTGAAATATAAAATGGGAGAGTATTATGAACATATTCTGTACTTTGCATTTTCCTTACTGATACCCTTAATGACAATGAAGAAGATAATGATAATTGCAGTGATAATTGTTAATAATTGTGTCTTTATTCTGGATCCTGTGCTAAATTTGTTTACTCTGCACAGCAGTACCTGATGGTATCAAATTGCTTACCGATTTCTAGGTGCCTCACTATACAGGTGAGAAATGCGAGGCTTAGAAAGATAATGCAACTTTCTAAGGCAAGCAGATGATGAATTCAGAACTAAAATCTAACAGCTATCCAGCCCCAGAGTCTGGGCTCAGAATAGAAATACAGCATTCTATGGTATGGCTCAGCACAGCAAGATTATTCAGATCATTTTTGTTAGATAATTTCCTAGGCATGGAAGTAATGAGCCAAGGTGTTTATTTTGTCAGATATGGTTAAATTGCCCTCCAGATAGGTGGTTTATATTCTCAGAAGCAGCCTAATTCCCTCACTGGGTATCCACAATCTTTTTGATCAGTGTTAATTAGATAATTGAAAAATAGCTTTTACAGCAATTAGATATTGAGCATCTTTTCAAATGTTTTGGGCTTTTATATTCAGGAATTGCCTCTTTATAGGTTCAATTATCTTGTGATGTTTTCTGTAATATATGTTATGGTTATTAATGCCACATATGTATTATTTTATATATATTATACATTTTTCTAGCATGTTGCTTTATTTCTAACTTTATAGTTTTTTTAATAATATAGAAGTTTAAAATTTTTGTGAAATCAGATTGTGCTTCATGACTTAGAGAGGTTTTGTCATAATTGGAAATACGTTTTTTAAAAAAATACACTATATTATCTTTCATACTCTTTATAGTTTAACATTTACATGTTAAATTACTCCAAATTTGTTCCCAATCTAGTACTTACATGTTAAATTGTCCCAAATTAATTTTGTTATAAGGCTTAAACTTATTTCCCCTCTATATAAGATTTGTTGTACAAAAATCATTAATGACATAACATGTCTTTTCCTTACTGAAAGTGCCACTTTTATTATGTACAAAAAGTACTTTTTTATGATTTTTTCCTGTTCTTCTCCATCTGCCTGCTCCTCTGTGCTTCTGCAACAGGGTACTATATTTACGTGCAATGTAAAGAGGTTAATGTTTGACTTACATAGTAGGAAATATTCTGAAGAACATGAATCCAGTTTTAGCCCAATTGGATGCAAACCTAAGTTTCCCAGGTGAGAGAGGCTGGGCAGTGAGAGTGATTCATCTGAGATGGAGTTTTGGCAAGTAGATAAGGGACTGTGTAATGGTATCAATCCCTGGGAAGCGTAGAGCAATGATTCTACCTCACATTGTCCTTCCTGTAGGCTGAGGCGTTGCCATTTCACTTCGCTTAGCAGTGAACATCTCTCAACATGTCTTCTGCACAACAAGAGCCTGGTACATCTGGATCTCGGATCAAACTGGCTACAAGATGATGGAGCAAAACTTCTGTGTGATGCCTTTCGGCATCCAAGCTGTACTCTTCAGGACGTGGAGTAGGTTTTCTGTGACTTTTGTGTAGTTTCAACTACAGAGCGTCTGTGAATGCATGAGAGATTAGGAAAGAAAGGCTGAGAACTGAGTAACTATCAGAGAAAAGAATATACAGCTGATTTTCTCTCTCTCTTTCTGCCAGAGAAAAGCTGGAGAAATCTGTTTATCAGATTTTTAAAAACAATTACCATAGTAATTATAGTCAGCTTCCCTCAGGTAAGGAGGACCAGAGGCATCAGGCTGAGCAATAACCATATTATTTTTTCCTTGGTTGTGCCCTAGTGAATCCACAGTGTATCTGCTACTTTATATCTGTGAAACTCAAATTGTGCTCTACAAGGAAACTTTGGTGTTTCCTTTTCATTTGATAGTATTTTAGAAACACATTTAAATACTTATTTAAAATCATCTTCTTGATTATTGTAATGACTATACAATATTTAGTATTTCATTGTGTAAATATTGTGGCTAGAGTAAAGCCAGGCAGAGGTGTCACTTAGCAGTCTCACTTCATTTTCCCACTAGGACCTCCCATGGGACTAGTAGCTTGGATGAGTCATTAAGGGTCCATCCCCCCAGCATAGTTTTTTACAACTGTAAATTCAAGCTCCTTTGTGTACCCAGAAGTGTTTTTGTTGACTGGACTGAGTCATTATAACCAAACTTTCGAATTAGTTTAAAAGTTTGTTGTGACATCTGTAAATACTAAGGTGCTTGAACTTTAGGGTCCAATAAGCACTTGTACTTGCTTTAGTAAAGTGTAGATGATGATTGTTATGTGATTCTCTGAAATTTCATTGATCATTATTCAACTAGAAGGCAAAATTTTACTTTATCATTCAATCCAGTGCCTTCATTTCAACTACAGAGATAATTTCTAGGTGACCTATATACTCAAGGTCTTTGTTCAGCCTACCTTCTTTCCTTCCCATTACTATAGACAGTTAGACAAATTTGTACTTTCTTAGTTACCATCATAGCCTCTCTGCAGGCCATGCCAATTCTCTCAATAAATATTTGCAACAAATATGTGCTAGATGCTGAGGAGACTAAAGGTCACTAAGGTGATGCTGTTTTCCTTAAGTAACACAAAACGCTGATATCAGGAAAATAAACACAAAGCCAATTATAATATATTGCATATATTGTTATAAGGATATGGCAAAAGTCCCAATGAGCAAGGAGTGGGATTTCACAGTGGAGACAGAGTTACTTTAGGCTTGAAAAATGAAAAGGATTTTGTTCTGTGAGGATATCCTAGGTAGAAGGAAAGGGGAGAGAATAAAAGGGGAATAACAACAGATGTGGTATACTTTGAGAAAAATGGATGTGTATAGTGAGAGAATAGGGTGGGGCAAAGTACAGAAAGAGAAAGCTAGGGCCCAATTGTGGTTGTGCTTGAATGCCATTAAAAGGACCTGGAAGAAATATCTTCATATGTCACTTGTTTCTTTCTTCTTTGAGGATAACACTTTGAGATAGATTCCTGGAAAACTACTTATTTCAGAAATATATTAAAAAATGAAGGCATAGAGATCCTTGGGATCCATAGGGTTCCTTGGGAAAGCATATATCCATTTTAGTATTGCTAAAAATAGATGTTCATACCCTTGATTTTGAAAGCTTTGTAGATAACCTGTTTGTGAAAGAAAACAGCTTTACCTGCTGATTCCTTCTGCTCATTAAGAACTCCCATCTGTTCATATTAGACTTTCCTCATGTGCATCCTGGATTGTAGATAGAAAAGAGTCAGAAAAGAGGTTCAAATACTTTGGCCATCTCTATTAGGAAGAAACTAATCCTCACAACTGGGGGATTCACTTCTCCTCTGTTGTATTTCTTGCAGATTGATGGGCTGCGTTCTCACTAGTGCATGTTGTCTGGATCTGGCTTCTGTTATTTTGAGCAACCCAAACTTGTGGAGCCTGGACCTTGGGAACAATGATTTGCAGGATGATGGAGTAAAAATTCTGTGCACCGCTTTGAGACATCCAGACTCTAACATTCAGAGGCTTGGGTGAGTTCAGTTTTCTATTAGGAAAATTATACCTGTTTGGTTGGCATAGCTAGATGAAATTTAGTATATGGAGAGAGGATGAAAAATAAATGGGGCTAGAAGTTAAGTTACTCTGAGAAATAAGAATCTAAATTTCAAATATATGAATCAGTGTATTGTGTGTTCCTTAGTATAGAAGCCACATTTCACATTTTTTTGTATCCCTTTTAGTGCCTTGGATAGATATGTATTAAGTAAATTATACCTCATTTGGGTCCTTCATGTTCTGTCATCCTTCAGATATTCCATTTGTCCTTGAATTAATTTTTTTACTGAAGATTTTACTAATCATCTTCTATCTGTAAAACACTATACTATGTTCTTCAAGAACTTGTAATCTAATAGAATCTCACCCCATGTTATAGGTACTTCTCATGGTCAATCATATATTGTTTATATTTTTTTTAAATTTCAAAATATTAAGTGGGTACAAATGTTTTTGTTATATGGATAAAGCTTTTATAATGCTTGAGTCAGGGCTGTAAGTGCGCCTATCACCCAAACAGTGTTCATTGTACCTGTGAGGTAGGTTTTTATCCCTTCGCCTTTCTGATTTCCAATGACTTTTACTTCTTTCTGTGCCCATGTGTGCCCATCAGTAAATTCCAAATTATTAAAGAGTGCATGTGGTGTTTGTTTTTCCATTCTTGAAATACTTAGGATAATGGTCCCAGTTCTATCCAAATTGCTACAAAAGACATTAATTCATTTCTTTTTATGGCTGAATAGTACTCCATGGTATATATGTAACTACCATATTTTGTTAATCCACTTACGAATTGATGGGCACTTGGGTTGATTCCACATCTTTGCAATTGTGAATTGTGCTGCAGTAAACATTCAAATTCAGGTGTATTTTTCATAAAATGACTTCTTTTCCTTTGGGTAGATATCCAGTAGTGGGATTGCAGGGTTGAATGGTGAGGTTTACTTTTAGTTCTTTGAGAAATCTCCATACTGTTTTCCAGAGGGGTTGTAATAATTTGCAGTCCCACCAATAGCGTATAAGGGTTCCTGCATCCCTGCCAGCATCTATTGTTTTTTTGGACTTTTTAATAAGAGCCATTCTGACAGGAGTAAGGTGATACCTCACTGTGGTTTTAATTTTGCATTTTCCTGATGATTAGTGACATTGAGCATTTTTTCATATGTTCATTGGCCATTTGCCTATCTTCTTTTGAAAGCTTCTGTTCATGTTTTTTGTCCACTTTTTAATGGGGTTGTTTTTTTCTTGCTGATTTGTTTTTTTTGTAGATTCTTGATATTAGCCCTTTATTGGATGCATAGTTTGCAAATATTTTCTCCCATTTTGTAGGTTGTCTATTTGCTCTATTGATTATTTCCCTTGCTTGTGCTTAATAATTAAGCTTTGTAATTTAATCAAGTCCCATTTATTTATTTATTTATTTATTTATTTATTTTGAGACAGAGTCTCACTTTGTTGTCCAGGCTAGAGTGAGTGCCGTGGCGTCAGCCTAGCTCACAGTAACCTCAAACTCCTGGGCTCAAGCGATCCTACTGCCTCAGCCTCCCGATTAGCTGGGACTACAGGCATGCGCCACCATGCCCAGCTAATTTTTTTCTATATATTAGTTGGCCAATTAATTTCTTTCTATTTATAGTAGAGACGGGGTCTCGCTGTTGGTCAGGATAGTTTCCAACTCCTGACCTCGAGCAATCCATCCGCCTCAGCCTCTCAGAGTGCTAGGATTACAGGCGTGAGCCACCGTGCCCGGCCATTTATTTATTTTTATTGTTGCTATAATTGCCTTTGGGAATCTTAGTCTTAAGTTCTTTGCCTAATCCAATATCTAGAAGGTTTTCTTACATTCTGGAATTTTTGTGGTTTCATGCCTTACATCTAAGTCTTTTATCCATTTGTTGAATTAATTTTTGTGAAGGGTGAGAGAGAGAGGCCCTGTTCCATTCTTCTGCATGTGGCTATCCAGTTTTCCCAGCACCATTTATAGAACAGGGCTGCTTTTTCCCAGCATATGTTGTCTGTTTTGTTGAAGATCAGTTGGTTGTAGAGAGATGATTTTATATGTGGATTCTCTGTTCTGTGTCTCTGTCTAATCTTGAAATGATACTGTCTAGTACATTTTCACTCACACAACATGAATCATTGACCTCTGGGTTAACAATTGTGGTCTACATGTGGGAAGTCTAGACACAATGATCTGTCTCATACTATAGCAATTTAAAAGTTTCCCAGAGAAATGTTTCTTGACTCTTCCAAGAAAATGCTGTTTTTCCTATATTTCCATTTACTATTTATATATTTTTATCAGAACAATGATGAAGTTTGTAACTGTTGGATCTGAGATTTAATATTACCCTACTTATAACCTAATAAGTTAGGCTGTTACTGTTTCATGGATTCTGACAAAAAACACAAGACTTCTGTGAGAGACAAAGGACTTTATTACTTAGATCATAGCAAGAGCATGAGCATTAATATGTTTGTATCAGTTTCCTTTGTTCCCCAAGTCTCACAGGACTGACATGAAGGGTTGGGATGGATGCCTGCACATGCAGTGGGCTGCATCCAAGAACAACAACATGGAGTTTGAGGGACCCACCATTTTATAGCAAGCAGTATGGCAGCCTGCCCTTTGTCCTGGAGGGAGACATTACTTCATCACTCAAGGTTGCTCATTGCAAACACACCCTGGGAAATGACCAAGGTAAAAAGTTGTCAGGGCTTTGTATTCTTGTTAGCAAAACAAGTAGGAGAGAGAAACTCCTATGGAAGAATATCTCCCAAGCCACCTCTTGTTTCCATACAGTGCAGTCTTAGATTCTGGTAAATTGTCATATGAATATGACACTGTATTGGCCACTCTCGTTAATCTGACCAGTAGAGGCTGTGACCAAATTGGTTCAATTAATCTCATATACCATTTAATTAAGGCTGCTACCAATAAGACTCCAAGCACAGGATGAAGTCAACTTGCAGTATTGATGTCAACCAAGCCCCCTGGGTCTTACACTCAGCCAACTGAGTAAGTCTCACAGGAAGACTACTAGTTCTTTTATCCATTAAAAATCCACACAAGGGAGTTTAGAATGCTGATCTTTGGTGTCACTGGCAATAATAAGGGGCAAAAGAGAGTCCAAAACCAATGCTAATACCCCATAAAGAGATATCGAATGATCCACTGTTCCCCACATGCAGGCATATAACTCAAAGGAGCACAGGTCACTCTAATTTGGGATTTGTTGTTATTTGATTTGGGTCACCATTACAATGATATGTTTAAGCTAGCTAGACAGTCTCACTGATAGTTGCAGCTGCCTAGCTCACCATACATGGTATAGCCCAAGACTGTTCTGGCATCAGAGAAACCTATGAATTTGTTTCAGTCATATTGGAACAAAGTTGTGCTGGTAGTTGTGTTTGTACACATATGATAGGGGTCCACAGTTGGGGCTGCCGTTGATGGCATCAGACATAGCAGACTAGTTTATGACCTGCTTTGTCCACATGAGATTTTCTGTTTTCATAGTATGTGGACAGGCACTACAAACTGGGTAGCAAGTCAGATTGCCAACTTCAGCTGCTGCTTGACTCTCATAGACCACATAATTATTTTGCCAGGCTGCAACATTAGATGTAGGAGAAAAAAAGAGAGCATTAACTGGTTTTCCTACTCTCTGCACCTCCCAGATTCTAAGCTTGTTTTTCTTCTCCCACACCCATGATATCCTTGTGTTCCCATCAAAGTGGCTATAATTTCACTTATTTTTCAATCATCCCCCACTTGCACTCAGACCTTTGGTCCAGAAGGATCAGGTAGGAGGGAGACAAAAGCATTCTTACAATATTTACAGAAAACCATTATATTTCACACATTATATTTCATATTCTATATTATCTTCTAAATATCAAAGGCAAATTATGAAGCTTTGGGGTCTTTAATCTACCTTTTAAAAATGTAGTTGAAGGTTAAGTCTAATATAGACTTAATGGGTCTCCTGATATACCAAAATGATATATCTCCCTATTTAGGCCTATCAGTAAACCTTAGTAATTTTTCTTTGAGTGTCCCTGTGTTTTGTTGTTGTTTAACTTTATTCCAAAGTCATTGCTGTATGTCATTGCTGTTGTAAGTGGTTATTTTTGTTATTTTTTCATTGTGTTTATTCCTTATACATAGAAACACAGTTGGTTTTTTGTTGATTTCATACCCAGTAGCTTGCCACATTCTCTTGTTAATTCTAATTGCTAATTTGTAGATTCTTTTGGATTTTCTAGGTATAAAATAATATCATTTGGGAATAATACAGTTTAGTTTTTTCCTTTTCTTATATATTTTTTTTCTTTTTATTGCCTTAGTAAATGTTAATATATGTGATATAATGTTAATATATCTAGGGATAGTGGGCTTTTTTGTGTTCCCAGTGTTGAAAGCAAAATTTCAGTGGTTCACCCATTTGTCAGTTTAAGGAAATTCCCTTTTACACCTAGTTTGTTAGAAATTTTTATTTTCTTTTTAATTCATGAATAGATGTTAAGCTTAAGAAATTTACTAAATGTGATGAATCCTATTGATTTATATATTCTGTCAACCTTTCATTTTTGGGCTAAAACCAACTCAGACATGCTATCTCTTACAAACATTTTTTTTTTTTATTAACATGTGGCTCTTTAAGCATCTTTGTTCATAATGGAGATTAATTTATAATCTTTCTTGTGCAGCCCTCAAGTTTTTGTATCCCAGATTAGGCTATATTATAAAATGAGTTCAGGAGTGTTCCTTTTTTTTTTTTTCAGTTTTTTGGGGAGATTTTTGTAAGACTGGAATTATTCTTTGAATTTTGTAAAAATTTTGGTGAAACTGTCTAATCTGAAGCTTCCTTTGCATGTAGATTTTTTTGACTTATGATTCAATTTTTAAAATATACATTATTTGGGTTTTCTCTTACAGAGTACCTTTTGGTAAGTAATATTCTATACATTTCATCTAAATTTTAAAACTTATTGGCAAGTGTATAATATTTTATTATCTGCTTGACTTCTAAATCATCTATAATGATGTCTCCTTTCTTGTTCCTGAAATTGGCAATTTGAGCCTTTTCTCATTTTATTTTTCTTTTCTAAGAACACAACATAGATCCTCCCTATTGTATGTATACATTCTACTTCATTTCTGTCTTTATCTTAATTCTTGTACTTTTGCTGGGTTTATTTTATTCTTTTTCCGAATGCTTGTGTGGGATGCTTAGATCATATATTCCCTTTCTTCTTCTCCATCACAGATATTTAAGGTTATGATTTCCCTTCATTGAATTAACTTTATCCTACAAGTTTTGATATTAAATGCAGTGTTTTGTTTTTTATTTTATTTTTTCCTTCAACTCATGCATAATTTTTAAGTGTATGCCTTAATTTTCAAACATGAGAGGGTTTTCCTATTATCTTTTTATATTTAATCTCTATCATTGTACTCACTGTGCACGATTGCAGTTTTCAAAAATTTGTCAGCATTTGCTTCCTGTCCCAGTATATACTCAGTCTTTGTATGTGTTCCCCGGTGTATTCAAAAGGAATATGAAGAATTGTTGGTTGTAGCATTCCATATTAGTTAATTAAGATTAATTCTGTTCAAACATCTATATTTTTAGTGACTTTTTTTTACCAGATAATTCAGTTACTGTGAAAAATGTTAATATCTCTAGTATAATTCTAGATTTGTGTTTTTCACTTTGTAGTTGTTAGCTTTTTTTCCTATATTTTGAGACTGTTATTAGTGACTACAAATTTAAAATGATTGTTTCCTGATGAATTCTTGATAACTCTTTATGTCTTAAAATGCTTTTTGCCCTAAGGTGTATTTTGTGCAATATTTACATACCTTGTGTCAATATTAGTGGGACTATCTTCACCATGTTAATGTGAGTTCCATGTGTGCAGGAACTTAGTTTTATATACTCTGCACCTATATAGGCATTCAGTTCGGTGGCTAGGTAAACATAGGGTGATTTTTTTTTTATTTCAGCATATTACAGTGGTACAAATGTTTGGGTTACAATGTAATGTTTGGGTTACTTTCTTTGCCCCACCCAAGTCAGAGGTTCAAGCATGTCCACCCCCCAGATGGTGCGCACTGCACCCATTTATTCCCTGCTTTTAAAACATTCAATACCAACTTTCTAAAATCTGCTTATGTTGGTATATATTTAATGTTCAATCATTCAGTTGCTTTATAGTATTTTAGAGTGTTCTTGCATATTTTATTCCATGGACTATAATTATGAATTTGTAATTCATGATTTTAGAAAGGATATATATTCAGCCTGTAAGTATTTTAGTAATAATGAATATTATAAGTACTTATAGTCTTTGAATTTACCCTAACTGTATGCACTTTTTTAAGTTTCCAGAATTATCCTCCACTCTAAGCTCACAGATATTTTGTGTGTGTGTGTTCTCTTGTCATAGGATACGGTCCTTTTTGTTTTCTGTCTCTCTTCCCTACAGGTTGGCATACTGTGGTTTGACCTCACTCTGTTGTCAAGATCTCTTCTCTACTCTTAGCAGCAACCAAAAACTGATGAAAATGAACCTGACACAGAATACCTTAGGGTGTGAAGGAATTAGGAAGTTATGTCAAGTCTTGAGGTCTCCTAAGTGTAAACTGCAAGTTCTAGGGTAAGTCTTCATTGGCTTCTCAGGGGAAGAGTTTCCTGTAATGAGGGATCTGGGGATCTAGGGAGTAGCTCATTTACTGCAGGCCTCAGAATCAACCTGACTGTGTATCTTCAAGTATTTATTGGGCACTTATTTGTTTTTCTCTCATAGAATATTGAATCTGGAGAGAGATAATATAGCATAGTAGTTAGGAGTTGAGCACTTTGGAACTAGGCTACCTAAGTTTGAATTTTGGTTTTACCACTTAATAAATGTTTAATTTAGGCTAGACTCCCCCCCATCCCTTTTTGTTTTGGTTTCCTTATCCACAAAAATGGATGAAATAATAAAATCTCCCTTATAGGTTATTGTGAGGATCTGAGTCAATATAGACAAGTACTTCAAACAGTGCCTAGCATAATAAACAATGAATCTTTCAGCTGTTTTTATCATTATCATTAGTAGTTGTATTATGCTTGGATTGCAAAGGGCTCTTGAGGGATACTTTTATGTTTTTACCAATTTTTCTCTTCTATATTGCATTTTCCTTCAACTGCTGTATCTCCCTCACTGTATCTCTCTCGGTTCCCTTCCCCACTCCCCATCCATGTTATAATATTCTCTTTCTACTGCAAGACAAAAGTTTTTTTTTTCTCCTGAAATCCTTCACAGGGAAAGCAGAGGGCTGTAGGCAGATTGAATCAAGGAAAGAGATGTTTCTTTGTTTTCTCAGGTTGTGCAAAGAGGCGTTTGATGTGGAAGCCCAGGGGCTGCTGGAAGATTTGGGAGTTAGCAATCCACACTTAACCATAAAGCCAGATTGTAATGATGATAATGAAGAAGATGGGTCCTGGTGGCGGTGTTTCTGATTTGAAGACCCTGACATCCCTTAAAAAATAAATAAAACCTCAGAAGGATGAGGACTTCGGTTCTTAACTTTAGATATTTTGCGTAGAGATATGCACTTGACAACTCTGTTAGATACAGGTTAGTCCCTTTTCTGTAAAATGTCTGTTCAGCTTCACATAGGGGATTGAGATGCTGAAACAAAATGAAAAACATAAAGCTCTCTGAAAAGTATAACATGATGTTTTTAATTGGATACAGAGCTTAAGAACTGTGGTAAGAAAAGTCCAGACATGAGACTGGAAGATGGTTCCAGGGAAGATCAGTTAAAGTATCTTGTTTTCTTCCCCATTCCCACTGCCATGGCTTAGTGCACAGCCTTACTATCTCTGGCACCTTTTGTTGGAATGAGTCTCCTGTGTGTTCCTAGGACCACCAGTGTCAAGATCACTTGGCTATCTATCTTAAAATGCAGATTCCTGAGCCCCACACCAGACTTAGCAAATCGGAATGTCTGGGTGAGGCTCCTTAGCAACTGGCATTTTTAATAATTTCCTAGACAAATTCTTTTGAGAATCACTAGTTTCAATAGAAATAGTAGTCAATGTCTATATTGAATGCTTTCTGTAGCCTATAATGAAAGAAAAGGAGGCTTAATTCCCTTTAAGGGAATATAAGGTTATTTGGGTTAGAGCTAAAAACAGGTTCTTCCATTTGGCAAAAACATGGCACAATACAATTGTCTGTGAAAGACTGTTCTGGTTATTTATTGCTGTGTAACCACCCCAAAATTTAGTCGTTTAAAACCAATAACTATTTAATTAAACTTTGAGACTTGGTGAATTAGAAATCAGAAAGAGCTCATCTTAGCATTTCTTATACTCCACCATGGTATCACTTGGGGTCCCTTGTTGCTCTGGAGGCCCCAAGATAACTTTTACTCACCTGTCTGGTACCTTAGCAAGGATGGCTGAAAGGCTGGGTTCAGCAGGGCCCCTCCTCCCTTTACGAGCCTCTCCATGTGATCTCTCCAGGATGGGGATTCATGGATTGAAAGGGCCATCTAGAAGTTTCCAGTTCTCTTAAAATCTAGGCCCAGAAATGGCATAACAGAGTCACTTCTGTCGTTCTTCATTGGTGATAACAGTCCAGGCCAGCCCCGATTCAAGGACAATGAATTCTTGATGAAAGTAGCATCAAAGAATTTGTGCCGCTTTTAGTCTACTACAAACTCATCTTTTTAGTTTTTCTATGTAAGTGATAAGAAAGTTCTTAACTAATTGTAAGGAAAAGAAACACGTTTTATTCTCTTACACAGTCAATACCCACACGCTTCTGGTTACCAAATGGGTAGGTTTTTACCACATCAACAAATTTTCCAGCACCAGTTGGGTGTCCCATAATTCAATTCAATTCTGACACTATTTACCTGGAGATAACATCAGATCCCACAGCCTAAGAGCTCAGTCCCACAAGACTGCCCCCCACTTCAGGTACCAATTGCAAATCTCAGGTTGTGACCTGTACTTCTGACCAAATGGCTATAAATTGGGGTTCCCATAACTCCTTCCTTGGGTTTGATAATTTGCTTGGATGGCTCACAGAACTCGGGAATACATTAACCCATTATAAAGGACATTATAAAGGGTACAAATGAACAGCCAGATGAAATAGATACATAGGGTGAAATTAGGAAGGGTTCTTTCCCTGTGGATTTGGGGTATACCACCCTCTCAGCACGTGGGTATGTTCAGCAACCAGGAAGCTCTCCAAAACCCCATCTTTTTGAGTTTCTGTGAAGGCTTAATTAGGTAGGCATGCTTGATTAAGTCATTGGCAATTGGTGATCAACTCAACCTTTAGGCTGGAGGGCTGGAGATAAGAGTAGACCATGAAAGTCTGAAAGGGATAAATGACAATCTTGTGGAGATTTACAGGTAATGTTACTGATACATCTACACAAGATGATACTATTGGCATTTGGCATAGGTGATACATGGTGGTGAGGGGAGCATTACTGAAGTTGATTCCCAGTGAGAATAATTGCTAGTTAAAGAAAGCTAACCTGGAGGTGTCACAACAAACACAGAAAAGAAAGTATACAGCAGAGCAATGGCACCTCATTCACTTGGCAGCCTGTTTTTTTACTGTAGTTCTTTAGATATTTTGAGTCTATGGTATTGGGTAGTGGAGAGAAACATGTCATGGCAGCTCTCAAATCACATTACTTTCATCTTAGCAATCAAGGAGAAAATATACTTTTATTCCTCTTTGGTTTAAAATGTATTCCAAACACACTAATTGGTCCAGCATAGATCCAATGATGCAGTTAAAATATAATTTTCAAGGATTTTAACACTTGGCTCTTATACAAATACAAAATGAACACTTGTCAAAAATTTAATAAAGGAATCAGTAAGATGCTAGTTCAAAAAGCATTGGAGGAACAAGGGTTTATGCATCCATCAGAAAAGGCATTTAAAAAATGTTAGAATAACATTGCTAGGTAGATACAAAACTAGTTAATATCTTTCAAAGCAATAACAGATAACCACTGGGAGTATCTTTTAAAACAATTTGTATTACTAGTTGAAAAGAATTATTTGCATTGCTATCAGGTTCCTACAAATTAATCTTTACCCTTTCCAAGTTGTAAGTCCTTGATCAATAGCAAACAGAGTCAAGTAAAGAGATACATTCCTAATAAATCAGATAATCTTCAATCTGCTAGACAATGCCTAGCACTGAAAAAAACCATCCAGTAATCTCTTTTGCCCTATTTTTAGGTTTTAGATAATTTCTCTTAACAATATTCACCTCTTATAACAGTGGATCTCAACTGGGGTTTGGGATTGAGTCACTGAAACCCCATTCTGATGACTCAATAGGGGTCACTTTTGGTTGTCACAACCAATTGCTACTAACATCATCAAGCCATAGATGCTGCTGAACATCCTACAATGCACTTAGGAGTTCTCTACAGCAAACAAATACCCAGCCCAACCCTGAAAGTGCCACGATTGAGAAACTTGTCTTAGACTAAGCACTGTGACCATAGAGTTGAGATTTTTATGTTCAGTCCAACTTGGAGAGGTCACAATTACAGATTGCCCTCTCCATAGCCTATTATGGAAGAGTTGAGATTTGAACCGTGCCTACTTAGCTAAGTAGGATTACAGCAGGTAGAAAATAAGAGACCATGGAAATAAGTAGAGAAATAAACCCATGAATTTGGAATCAAAAGATGTGGGATTTAGATCTGTTACTACTAGTTATAAGTGCTGTGATCCTGGGAAATATATTTAGTATTTTTTTTTTTTTACCTCAGTTATCTATCAAATGGAGGCTAAAAAAATATGTCTCACTAAATCCCTTGATTATTAGCCTGGGAGAAAATGAACTTTAGGGGTGAAGGAGGAGGAAGGAGAAGGCAGAGCAACCATCTATAGCCTTCTATCATCAATGTGCTTCTTTAGAATGAAAGAGCAAATTATAAGGGAAAACTAAGTTGAAAAGATTTTTCTTTCCAGTCTTCTACCACAGTAAAGGCCTTGCCTATCTAGTCTTCTAGCTTCTCCCTTGTTGCATTCTACTCTATCCTCTACACCACTTTCAAAGTAGTTTTTTTTAAAATTTTTTTTTTATTTTAGCGTATTATGGGGGTACAAGTGTTAAGGTTACTTACCATGGAATATTACTCAGCTTTAAGAAACAATGGTGATATAGCACCTCTTGTATATTCCTGGATACAGCTGGAATCCATTTTACTAAGTGAAGTATCTCAAGAATGGAAAAACCACCACCACATGTACTCACCAGCAAATTGGTATAAACGGATCAACACCTAAGTGGACATATAGGAGTAACATTTATCGGGTGTTGGGAGAGTGGGAGGGGGGAGGAGGGGATGGGTATATACAACTACGAGTAAGATGTGCAACGTTCGGAGGATGGACATGCTTGAAGCTCTTACTCGAGGGGGTAGGGGGCATGGGCAATATAAGTCAAAGTAGTTTTCTTTAAAAACAAACCAAAAATCTCTATATATTCAAGTCTCTCTTCCCCTCCTCCTACCTCTACTGCTTACATTTCAGCTTCATCTCTTGACCTCTGAAACGTGGTATAAACCACTGACAAGTGACAGTACTTTCAAACAGGATACTTCTGTGTTCAGCTCATTGTTTTGTCCCTGCCTTCCTTTGCGCATACTATTCTGTAATGTTTCTCTTTTCCTGTCTTATTCTTTATTCCTTTTTTTTCCTGTAGATCCTCATGGATACCCTCCCAGCGTAAATATTGCCTTTAAAAACAAAGAAAAGGATAAAAACTGGCAGATTGTTTTATAACAACAGAGGGAAGGAAAAAAGAGTAGGCTATTATTATATAATAATTATTAATATATATTAATAGTACTTCTGTCTCTATCAAATGTGATCAGTTTAATTAAACATCCACCCCTTACTATTTGTCTTCACTTCAGAATATCCAAACCTAGTGCAGTGCCTTCCACAGAGCAGATGTTTAATAAATATTTGTTGAATGAATGAAAGCATAAATAGATGACTTTAGAGCTGGACCAAATTCTTTTTACTCAAAAGGCCTGATGATTTGGTTTAGCTTTCCAAAATGTCACTCTCCCCTCTCACTTCTCCATTCCTTCAATGCTTCAAGTTTGTCACGGCTGACATCCTCTCTACCCACTCAGGTCCTTTTCCCACTCCTCACAGAGCTGGCTCGGGATGATCCCTTAGACCAGCAGTCCCCAACCTTTTTGGCACCAGGGATCGGTGTCATGGAAGACAGTTTTAACACCTATGGGGCTGGGGGCGGGGCGGAGCTCAGGGTGAGGCAAGCCATAGAGGATGGGGAGAGGCCGTAAATAGACGTGAAGCTCCGCTAGCCCTCTGCTCTCCTCCAGTTGAGCTCCCCCCAACCCTGGTTCCTAAGTTTCATGGAAGACAGTTTTTCCACGGACGGGGCGGTGGAGGGTACGGGTTCCGTGGCGCGGGATGGGGACCGCAGCCTTGGACTGTAGTTTAAATATCACCTTCTGGGAGAGTTTGAGCGCTCAATCTTAAACACCACCATCAATGCTCCCCTCCCCCTGCCCTATAAAGCATTGTGTTTCTATCCTCCTACTGTTACAGAGATTTAATTATTTCTAATTGTTTATTTTCCTCATCACGATGTAAATCCTGTGAGGGCGCAGACCACGGCTATTTCTGTCACTGTTACATTTCCAGCCCACAGCACAGTGTCGTCTTGCACATTGTGGGCTATTATTCGGGAATGAATGAGTGAGTGGGTGAGTGGCAGCAACAATATCCTGCTCTTCCAGGGAACGTCTGTCTTCCCAGCTTCCTCACAATTCAGTGAAGGAGGCGATCACGTTGTCATGGGCAGTGGGAAACGCTGAGCCCCAGGAGACTCAGTGGTGGCATCTGGCGGGAGGGGGCCCCCCCGCGGTGGTTACAGACAGGGCATTCCGCCTTTCTAGGTGTTTTTTTTTTTGAGATCTCTTATTCTAATGGGGCGGGAATCGGTCCTCAGTTTGTCTGGCAAGGCCGGGAAGGGAGGTCCCGGAGTCTGGGGAGTCGTGCGGGGGCTCCGCGGTTGGGGGCCGGCAGTCCTGGTGCGGAAGGGAGGGACGAAGAGCGCGGCTGGCTCCGCTCCGGGCCTGCAGCTGCCCTGCCCGGCCTGCGGGAAGCGGGGACAAGTGGGGAGCACAGCAGGTGCGGGCGAAGCCTGCCCATCCGCTCCCGGATCTCTAGTGTCCCTGAGCCAGGCGCTCTCGGAACTCAGCGTGGGGCGCCTGGTAGGAGCCCGGGCACGGCTGGAAAGGAGGTGACCCCAACCCTGGTCTCCAGCGCCAAAGAAAGCAGGACCCTGGACAGCACTTGGAGGCTGCTACCACTTGCATTGCATTCCTCCTTTTATTAATAGTTTAGTTCTTTGCCTACAGAGGCAATTTCGTCCCTCCAAGGTGAGGTTCCAATCTCTGAAGACACTCTCCTAAACACAGGCAGAAATGGATTCCCTGAAAGTGAATGCGTATCATTAATTGAAATAACATAAATATATGTGAATTAAGGCACACATTAAAAGTCAACCAGTCTTTTGGACCTTGTTTGAATAAATGAGGGAGTGCCTAGTAGTCAAATTTGTAGAGACAAAGTAGAATAGTAGTTGCCAGGGGCTGGGGTTAGGGGTAAACAGGGAGTTGTTTAATGGGTTTGGAGGTTCAGATTTATAAAATCAAAATAGTTCCAGAGATTGGTTGTACAACAGTGTGAATGTACTTAACACTACTGAAGTGTACACCTAAAAATAGCTAAGATCGTAAATTTTATGTGTATTTTTACTACAATTTAAAAATTTAAATTAAATTAAATTTTTTAAAAAATCGGGGTGTGCAAGCTGCAGACTGACTAGGAAGCTTACTCCTCACTGTCAAGAAACTTGTGGCAACCATGAGATTGCTCCATGTGTCTGAATGCTTGGACCAATAGTCAATCCCTGAGTCAGGGTCCCAGGCCACAAGCACTTGGTGCTGCCTCCAGGGAAATTCCCCTGACCTTGCTAGTAGGAAGGAGTCTCATTTAATTGTCCTAGGGATTTCTAGCCTGAGGAGATAGGGACCTGAAAGACAATTATTTGTGTTCTCCAATTCTCCCTTGTCAGGACAGCCCTACACTGAGATTTTTTTTTTTTTTTGAGGGAAGAAGGTAATTCCTCCTTTTCTTTCTTGAAATGTGACCTCTATCCTTAATAGTAGATACAATTCTTTTCTTCATCTTGAAGCTTCTCTGTCCCCCAGATCCACATCTAGGATTCCCTGTCTCGGTTACTCTCTCGAAGAACACTGGGGCCAATGTAGCCAGTGAGGGATCCGACAGGGAATGGCCCCCTCTGCCTGGTTCCTGCTCCTTTGTTGTACTCTTCCTTGTTCACCAGTATTCACACCTTCATTCCTCATTCAGGTCTGCTACAGCTTGCTGCTGGTAGTTATAAAAGGAATGAAAAAAGTGAGTCATTCTTTGTCATAGTCACATAGTGAACAGTGTATAAACACATAAAATACTCATCTATTTAATGTTATTTTGCAGATTCACATATTATAAATGTAACTCTTACTTAAGGATTTTTCAAAATAAGTGGTCTTGACCATAAGTGTTAGAATACATGAAAACCATTTTTGTCAGAATATCTTCCATTGCACTTGACCTAGCAGCAGCTCGGGTAGCCTGGGGATTCCATTTGCAGCTGGCATTTGAAGTGAGGACAGTCTTATTGGGACTGAGTCCTTAACCTGTGGGGTCTGCACTAACTCCCAGTACTTAGTGTCAGAATTGAATTGCAGGACACATGGTTAGTATCAGAGAATTGAGAATTGTTGTTGGAAGATGATATACTATCTCTACTTGATTACTGCAATAGCCTTCTGGCCTTCTACAAATTTTGGAATTCCTATTCTCCACTCAGATTCAGCAATTCATCAGAACCATTCACAGAACCCATATAGGTGCTATATTTATGATTATAGTTTATTATAAAGGATAAAAGTTAATAGCAAATGAAGAGGTACATAGGGCAAGGAGGGAGGAAAGGGTTCACAGTTCTCATGCCCTCTCAGGGCATGCCACCCTCCCAGCATATCCATGTACTCATCAACCTGGGAATTCCCTGAATCCCATTGTTCAGGGTTTTTATGCAGAGTTTTGTTATATAGGCATGATTGATTAAATCAGTGGCCATTGGTGATTAAATTCAATCTCTAGTGTCTCTTTTCTCTCTGGAAGTCAGAGTAGGAAGTGGAGTTAAAGTTCTAACTCTCCAGTGACAGAGTTGGTCCTCTGGTGACCAGCCCCCGCCCTAAAGCTATCTAGGGCCCCCACCATGAGTCATCTCATTAGCATAAACTCAGATATGGTCAAAAGGGATTCTTTATGGATAACAAAAGACAGTCCTATCTATCAGGAATCTCTAAAGGTTTTAGAAACTCTGTACCAGGAACCAGGACAAAGACCAAATATATGTTTTTTATTATAGCATAGGCTACCCCTTGGTCCTTGACCATGGATCCCTTATAGTAAAAGGATGATAACTGTCTGAGCAACATTTGGAGGAGTCATTCAGTCAAAAGATACTGGCACATTACTAGCGTCCCACTCAGCCATTAATAGTTAATCCAGCTCATCATCATATTGTATGAAAATGTCTCTCAGGATGAGGTCACTCCAGTTAGCAGGGTTTCATTGGATCTGGTCAGATTTCTAAAGGACTGGTCTCAGCAATAGATGGCTTCACTCTTTCAGGCATCTGGTATAACTGAGTAAAAGACAATATCATCTTTTGCTCTGGCCTTCTTTGAAGGTATTAATGTACTACTGGGTTTCCTCCAATAAAGAACCCATTTAGTCATTCCTTTACTCTCCTCTACTATTCCTCCTTCTCTCCATTTATACATGACTTTTCCACCTTTGGAAGGGATATTAGGTTAAACCACTATACTGGTCTAAATTGCAGACAGCAATGCTAGTCTAGCAAGTACTTCCTTGTCAGTCCATTCCCATTCGCATAGAATAGGGATGCATAGTTACAGTGGTAGTGGGCTGTTTTTACTATTAGGAAATATAGCTTCATTCACTGTTAATCCCAGTTTTGCCAGATGGGGTGAAAGTACATCCTTCCCCATAAGGCCCTTAGAAATTCTGACTTAAGTTTTAAAATATAGGTAAAGTTTCTTGCTTAGGAATCATCCCTGCTTCCAGCATTTGTAGTTGTAGCCCTGGTCCTGTGACCTTTAAGTAGGAAAAACAAAGTTGAAGTGATGAAGGGGAGAAAGAAAAAAAGTGTAGTTGTCAGTCATCTTCCCTGTGGGAAAAATTGCATAGTCATACCAGCATCTTCTCCCTGTCCCTCTCCTGCTTATCTACCAGAAAAACAGGAATCTATCTAGTGGGGAGATTCTCTCATCTCCCCTTGTGTTGAGCATGAGCACACACTCATGAAGGCAGGTAATCCAGCCCTTCATACCTTTATGTCCTCCCATTTTAGACAACCAAGGTTTCAGTTGCCTTTTCTAATTCTCTATCAAACTATTACTCTAAGGAGAACATCTTTCTGCTCATTGTTGAAATTATAGACTGCAAAAAGTATTACTTGGTCTGAGGAAATGTGACTTGGTAGTCCAAATTGATGAAATCTCTTCTGGTTCTTTTTTGGCACTTAAGCATTTGCATTTATTACTGGGTAAACAAAGCCCAGATGAGTCAGTGTCTATTCCTATCAAGACCCATTGGTAACCATCATCAGTCATTGTTCAGGGACATCTATGTTCAGGGTCTTCTCCCAGGGAATGTGACATATAGCCATTTGCAGCCGCTGCTGCTTTTGTTGCCAGACACAATTTTTAGTGGTATTTTGTGTCTCAGAGGTGTAGGAGGAATATGTCTACATTCAACCCATCTCTGCATTGCTGCAGGCCCCCAATGTCCACTAATTTCATAGATCCACCTGTCCACCCTAGGCAAGCATACTGGGATATCCACTAGTCAATTCCAGTCCTTTATGAACCTACTAGTGGATTCTTCTGATGGGCATCATATGCTCTACTTTAATGCACTCTTCAAATTCCATAGTGATTTCCATGTGGGCATCCCTTTAATAGGCCAGTTTTCCATTGCCTCTCTGCCTGACCATATGACAGGCCACTAGCCACCATCCACTAGTCAGTAAAAACTCAAATATGAGGGATTTTTTTATCACTGTCCAATACTTCCATCACTGATAGGTAAATAGCATGTAATTCAGCCCATCAGACTGATATGTTTTTACCTTCTTCTAACTCAGAGGTGACCTTTCAATGAGGATGCTGCCCATTCACCATGGAACTACTATCCATAAACCAAGCATCTCTTTGCTGGTCATTTGGGAACTGTTCACAGGGCACTAGCCGTTGAATAGAATCTGATAGGTCCTCACAACATTCCAAAATCAGTCTTAGGGGAAAATAGTTGATGTACTTGTGAATCTGCTGAGTATCTCTCTGCATTCCCCCAGAAGTGGTATTCCTATTTTGACATAAATAAAATTTTGACAATTTTGACAAAATTTTGACAAAATTTTGACATAAATCTCTGCTAATAGTTATTGATACAGAGCTCCTTAAACCCTTGTGACATCCTGAGTTACAGGGGTACTGAAAGCATCTTTTATTCTAATATATGGTCTTTGACCCAAGTTTCTGACACAGTGTTCCTAAATCCTTTGGAATTTCCTGGGTGATAGGAGTGTCCTTTGTTTTAATGAGATGACTCTTGTTGGGTTCCTGGATAGCTTTGGGATGAAGGATGGTTACCAGAAAGACCAGGGCATGATTAGAAGCTTGGAATTTTCAGCCCTACTCCCCATCTTCTAGGGTGGGGAAAGCGGGCTAGAGACTGACTTAATAAATTATGTCTATGTCATGAAGCCTTCATAAAAATCCCTAAGAGGTGAGGTTCGGAGAGCTTCCAGGTTGGTGAGCACATCCACTTGCCAGGAGGATGGCACACCCCAACTCCACAGAAACAGGAACTCCTATACTTTGGACCCTACCAGACCTCGACCTATGTATCTCTTCATCTGGTATTCATCTGTATTTTTTATCATATATTTTATCATATCCTGTAATAAACTGGAAACATAAATGTTTTCCAGATTTCTATGAGCCATCATAGTAAATTTTAAAACCTGAGGAGGGGGTTATAGGAATCCCCAATTTGTAGCCAGGTCAGACAAGAAGTGTGGGTTACAGGTGTTTGGGGTGGCAGTAAGCTATGATGACACCACAAGAAAAAGAAAAAGAAGTGTGGGTTAATCAGGGGACCTAATTCTTGCCATTGGAGTAAGAAGTGGGGGGCAATCATATGTAAATAAGCCCTTAACTATGAGGTTGAGGTCTGTACTAATTTCAGGTAGTTAGTGTCATAATTGAATTGTAGGACACCTAGTTGGTGTCTAGAGAGTTGGAGAATTGGTTGATGTGGGGAAAACCCTGTATTTTGAATATTTTTTAACTGTGGTAAAATACACATAACATGAAGTTCATCTTAACTTTTTTTTTTTTTTTTTTTTTTTTTTTTTTTTTTGGGTCTCACTCTGCTATCTGGGGTAGAGTACAGTGGTATCATTATAGCTCACTGTAACCTCAAACTTCTGGGCTCAAGTGAGCCTTCTGGCTCATCTTCCCAAGTAGCTAGGACTACAGGCGTGTGCCGCCACATCCAGCTAATTTATTTTTATTTGTAGAGACAGGGTCTCACCATGATGCCCAGGCTGGTCTTGAACTCCTGCCCTCAAGTGAATGGGGGTGGGGGGGTCACAGGCTTTTGCCATAAGCCCCGTCTACGCTACACATAGGTCTACCGTACAGATAATTTGTCCGCCCTAGCACACCAAATTCTACACTGTGTGGGCTTGGGCAATCTCATTCATTCCCATTTAACATATCCAATTAATATGGTTTGAAGGTCGAATTTTTATGCCTCGTGTTTTACAATGCTCGGTAGGGGAAACATTCCCCAGTCAGACAATATATCCGTTCTCATAACACATTCAGGGACCAGAGACACAATCACTTCACGTAAAGCCTGCGTAAACATTTCTGCGTTCACAAACTTTTGTCTTAATCCTGCCAACTCTTGCATTTTTGTTTTCTTTCAGTTTAATTGCAGCCCACATTAGGGCTTCACCAGTGCTTTCTGGTTTATACCTGGCAGAGGAAACATTCCCTAGTCAAACAGAGTAGCTATTCCTATAAAACATTCACGTAAAGGAGACACAAAATCTTCGCATGAAGCCTATTCAATTTTCACCCAAACTTTTACCTTAATCCTATTAAACCTAACATTTCTATGTTTTCTCAAAGTGTAGCTGTTGTTAGGGCTTCACCAGTGGGTTTTGGCACCACAGTGCACAGAAAGTTTCAGAAAGTCCCAGAAACTTCTCTCCCCGCCCCCATCATGTGACTCGCTCCTGCGGGTAAGACTTTCGCGTCTCCACAGAGGGGTCCAACCAAGGACCGCAGACCCTTCTGTCAGTCTTTATATTGATTAATCCACCCATTTTCTCAGTGATTCCAGATCAGGTTTTATTAAATTTTACACGCAAACTGCACTTTAAAACTTTTAAATTATTCCTTATTTTTCAGTTACATTTTTTTTTCTGTTTTAAAATGGTTTGGGTAACTTGGGTTGGAATGCATAATTATTCTCATTTTTTTCACCTAACGGCTTTTCATTCAGCGACAGAGCTCTCAGGAGTGAATTAAAACCGTTAAGCCAGGGTCGGGTCCCCTGGAGGTTAAAAGACTGGAGAGGAGTCACAGAACTGCCTTCTTCCCCGACCCAGCCTGCCCTCCGCAGACAACCAACCAATCACAACCTGCAGGAGCCCGCCGGGCCGGCCGGGGAACCAGACCCGGGAGGCACAAACCGGAGCGTTCCGCCTGAGCAGCTGGGGGCGCGGTCGCGGTTCCGGACGCCGCGCCGCGCAGCCCGACCGGTAGGAGTCGCCCTCGACGAGCGGGCTCAGAGGACGCGACGGTCGCTGCCTTTTCGCCTCCCGCCGCCACAGACCACTCCACCCGCTGACATGGTTGAGGCGGATCGCCCGGGAAAGCTTTTCATTGGGGGGCTCAACCTCGAAACCGACGAGAAGGGCCTCGAGGCCGAGTTTGGCAAGTATGGCCGCATCGTCGAGGTGCTCCTGATGAAAGACCGCGAAACCGGCAAGTCGAGGGGCTTCGCGTTCGTCACCTTCGAAAGCCCCGCAGACGCCAAGGCCGCCGCCAGAGACATGAATGGCAAGTCCCTGGATGGTAAGGCCATCAAGGTGGCCCAGGCCACCAAACCGGCGTTTGAAAGCAGCCGGCGGGGCCCGCCGCTGCAGCCCCGCAGCCGCGGCCGCCTGAGAGGCCTGCGCGGATCCCGCGGGGGTCCGCGGCGACCCCCTTCCCGGGGCGGGCCGGCCGACGACGGCGGCTACGCGGGCGATTTCGACCTGCGGCCCCCCAGGGCCCCGATGCCCATGAAGCGCGGGCCGCGGCCGCTGCCGCGCAGGGCCGGCCGCCCCAAGCGGCCGTGCCGTCGGGCCGCCGCGCAGCGCCGGGTGGAATGCGCGGCGGCCCCGGCCGCGCGGGGCCGAGAGGGCTATGCCGGGCCGCCGCGCCGGGAGCCGCCGCCCCCGCGCCGCGACCACTACCTGGGCCCGCGGGAGGAGGGCTACTCGCCCAGGGACAGCTACTCGAGCCGCGACTACCCGAGCTCCCGCGACCCTCGGGATTTTGCGCCGTCGCCCAGAGAGTACACCTACCGCGATTACGGCCACTCCAGTGCCCGCGACGACTCTCCATCGAGAGGCTACGGCGACCGAGACGGTTACGGGGGCCGCGACCGCGACTACGCGGATCATCCGAGTGGAGGCTCCTACCGAGACCCCTTCGAGAGCTACGGGGACCCGCGCAGCGCCGCGCCCGTGCGGGGGCCACCGCCATCTTACGGCCGCTACGAGGAGTACCGGGGCTGCTCGCCCGACGCCTACAGCTGTGGCCGCGACGGTTACGGCAGCGGCCGGAGCGACCGCTACTCCAGGGGCCGAGAGCGGGTGGGTAGACCGGATCGCGGGCTTCCCCCGTCCATGGAAAGGGGGTGCCCTCCCCCGCGCGATTCCTACAGCCGGTCCGGCCGCAGGGTGCCCAGGGGCGGAGGCCGCCTAGGAGGCCGCTCGGAGAGAGGGGGAGGCCGGAGCAGATACTAAGCAGGAAGAAACTTGGGACCAAAAATCCCTTTTCAAGAAAAGTAACAAAAAGAAGAACCTGTTGTATGGTAACTACCCAAAGACTAGTACAAAGAAGAGTTGTTTTTACCTTTTAAGAATTTCCTGTTAACTTCCTCTCTATTTTTATGCTTTTGGGAGGAAAAAAGTTAAAATTCGTTTAATTTCGTTTTGGAATTGTTAACGTTTCTTTCAACAAGCTCATGTTAAAAGCATACGACTTGAATCTGCGTACTAGTCTTCTTATATTTTCAAGTAGAAATTCTCCTAAATGCTTCTTCCCTTCTAAATTTTTCTGATAAATGAGGCAAACGGTTCTGAGATGTTTCATAAACATCTGCTCACCTAAAATGGAAAAATGGATCATTCTGCCCATTCAAACCAACTAGATTTTGGGGGGAGAGTGGGAGGGAATTAGTATATGCTACTTTTAAGATTTCAGGGTGTCTTTCAAACTGAATTTCATTGTTCCCAGTATTAAAAACCAAAAAGCCAGCAACAGCAACAAAAACCTTTTAGATCAGATGCTTATGTAAAAAATGTTGTATTCACTAGGTAAATCTAAAAAAGCAAATGGATAATGCTGGCCATATTTTGCCTTTTTGCCCTTTCTTTGGGAATATGCAGGATCTCCTATCCACTTGTTCCCCAAAAATATCATTCATATTTTGAACAATGGAATACTAAAAGATTTTACCACGACGCTGCAAAAAAACAAAAAAACCCAAGTCTATTAATTAATAGCATTCATTTTCACCACCTACAAATTATTAAGAAATAAGTAGAAAATACACCAGTGGTGCATTTGGAGATGATATGGCTTCCATTTCTAACTCCAAGCTACTTGCCCTTGGCTCTAGAGCCAACCACCGACTCCTGGATTGAGTTAGGCTTCTTCCCCTAGGAGTGGAGGAATCAAATATGAGTAGTTTCAGACAGAGCTCAGGAGCAAAGGTCAGAGTACCTGAAAGAGCTTGGCATTTCAATCTCTGAAGATCTCAAACTGGTATGAAGGGGCTGGGTCTTACTGTCTGCAAAAGGCAAGGGGTTGGATGGGTTGAGTGTTCCCTACTCTAAAGGTAGGGAGAAGGGCTGCAGAAAACTGTCAGTCTTTCTCTAAGAAGCTTCAGGAGGGACTTAACAGTTTCCTCTTTTTATCCTAAGCTTAGGGGAAGAAACACCTTTTCCATTCAGCAACTGTGGAATTCCCTAATTTATCTCAGAGAAAGGTAATTGTCCAGTCAAGGGACTCTAGCAACCAGAGAAAGAAGGATCAGGTTAAACTATTAGGACCCATGTTCAATGTAATAATTGCTGGAGAAAACAAACGAACACCTGAACAACAACAAAAAATACTTAAAGAGATCTGAATGTAACACACGCACATACACAACTCTTAAAAACATGATTTTTCAACAAAATAATAAACTAGATGAATTAAAGGAGAGGACACACACTAGTGTGTCAGAAGATCAAATCCAAAAAATAGCTCAAAAGAAATGATGCAGGAATTAATCTAGCAAAACTGTAAAATTTTTATGGAAAAATTGTTAGTCTTTATTAAAGGACATAAAAGAAGAACTAAATGGAGATTCTTATGCTCGTGGTTGGGAAGTCTTTTTATCCTAACTATTCTCAGTCTTACCAGATAAATTTGGAAATTAATTAATTTGAAAACCAGGTTTAATTGGAAAATCAGCTTTAAATGAAGCAAAACATGATTTTTTTCACACAGCTCCCCTCCCCTCTTTCCTTATAACACCATTTATTTGTGTTGATCAACGATGGAATACTAAGTGAAAGATTTGGTAAACCACAAAACTGAAAAAAAAAATAGCTTCATTTCACCACCAACAAATTATTAAGGAACAGGTGTTAAAAAGAGATACTAACGAGAGATATAGCTAATCCTAAAGTTTATGTGGTTGAATAAAGAACAAGAAGAGCAAAATCAATTCTGAAAAATAATAGTTAGGAAGGACACACCCTACAGATACCAAGACTTAACTACAAAGCTTTAGCACTTTAAGCTATATGTCATCAACAGACAAGGATAGACAGACCAGTAGACCAAAATTGTGAGCCTAGGAACAGGCCCACTTCTGTATGAAAACATGTTATATGACAGAGGTAGCTTTAAAAGTCATTGGTGACAGAATGAACTTAAGAAAAAAAAAAAAAGACGATCTCTGTGAAAGATAAAATGAGAATCCCTAATTTACAAGCATACACAAAAATACATTCTATAAGGTTTGAAGACGTAAGTGTGAAAAGGAAATTTTTTAAACACTTAGAAGAAAATAAAGAAGAAATGCATTCACCACACTGGGGTAAAGAATTCTTTTTAAAGACATAACATAAAAGTCACAAACTTGTAAGGAAAATGTTGGTAATATTTTCCACATTATTATTAAGGTATTTTTTTATTAAAAGACATGATTACCAAAGTGAAATGTCAAATCATAAATTGAAAGAATGTATTTGCATTGAAATAGTTTCCAAAAGAATGCTTAAAAATCAATAAGAAAAAACACCAAGACAAAAGTGGGCAAAAGATCTCATCTTTCTGGTAGATGTATAAAATTGATACAATCACTTTGGAAATAATTTTGGCAATACCAAATGGGCCATATCTTATGGACCTAGAAATTCCATTACTTTACTCAAGAAAGGACTAAGAGAAACTTGCACATGTTCACAAGGAGATATGCACAGGATTGGTCTGTAAAGTACTCTTTGAATGTTAAAAAAGTAGAAGCAGTCTACCTGGAGTGGATCACCAGAGATGTATTCTTATAATGAAGTTTAATGTAGAAGCTAATGTGAATCAACCAGATCTACATGTATCAACATAGGTAAATATCAAAATATTTATTTGGTGAAAAAAGCAAATTGCATATAAGGTATAGTAAAAAAAAAAAAGACTAAAAATATGATTGGATTGGTACACAAAAAATTGGGATATTTAGTGTGAGGAAGAAAGGAAAAGTATGGGATGAGAAGTGGGCTATAGCCAAAACTGTAATGTTTTATTTCTTTAAAAGTGATAGGTCTTAAGCAAAACTGACAAGTTTAACATCTTAAATTTCTGTTGTCTATATATTGGCATCTCTTATTCTAAATTTCAAAATATTTCATAGTATAAATTTTAGTATGAAAAAATAGAGCTTAGCACATTACTCAGCATCTGATAACTACTTAAGAATGTTGATTATTATTCTGAAACTCAGATGCAACGCTTGTGAGAATGATTCTCTGTCTTGGCTTTGTTCTCACATCAGTATGGTTGATGCCTTATTCTATTTGACCCAGTTTGTAGAACCTTCCTATCCTAGACTGTGCCCACAGCTAGCTCACCGTAACCTCAAGGGTAAAACTTATATTTCTGAGGACCAAATCTTAGAGGAAGGTGTAGTTTTTCTCTTTGATGTTAGTTTTGAAGCATAAGAGTGATGAAAAACTTTTTTCAATTAACAAAGATGCTATTTCTGCAGAGTAATCTTCTGAATATTGAAATTGTTAATAAGTTAAAAAAACAAATGAAGTATTAACATTTGGAAATAAAGACTTATCTGGGGCTTAGATGAGGTTAAGAGATAATAGCATAAAAAGGCTGTAGATTTCTCATGTACATATACAATACAACAGCTCCAATAGTTCTTTACTAGAAATTAATGTATTACAGCTATCTTTGTAGGATCTAGTCAATTGAGAATTAGTCTTTATAATCACTTTTACAATGATGAGAGACAGCATATGAAATGTTTCCCAGGATTCATCCACTGAGTAAAATTTAAAGAATTTACATCTCAACCAAAACCTTTATATTTTATATTTTGAGCTTTTATCTGTTTATTTCTGAGACCCCCATCTTTTCCACATTCTTTCTTTCCAAAATGGTTCCAGGGGCCTTCAGACTGTTCATGTGGCAGCTGATAGCATTACTGAATGTTCATCAGGTGAGGCCTGAATATTTTTCATTTCTGATCACAGGACTGAATCCTGCTGTGGCTCCTAGAGATATCTTAAAGAGTGCTAGAAGTAGAATTCTTTTTTCCTGTAGGGCCCCTTTCTTCCCCCTTGCCTCAGGCCAGGTGAAATGGAAAAGGCTTTTCTACCTTCTGTATTTCTTCTAACTGGAGCCTCTAATTTCTCAGCCTTTATATGGTTTCCAGGATCCCTCCCTTTTAGCCTTTACCTTAAAGGTGATATGATTTCCCTTCCTTCCTCCACAGAAATTTCTTTTTGGGGGAGAGTTACTGTGTTCCCATATTTCCTCTTTTGGGAATATTTGAGAACTTACCAAGCAGAATCAGGATATATTTTTGCTGTGCACACATGGAATCCAATGCTAGTGGGAATTCCTTTCAGAATCTTGCGTGTTCTACTTGGGGTGAAGTTGATTCTGAAGCTAATTTCTCTTACAGTTTAGCACATCTAAGAATAACATAAAAATTCTGAGTCTAGATATTTTGTGGGTGACATTGAACAAGTTTATCAAATGCAAAAATTTAACTCTAGAGGAACTATATAGCAACGATGACCTATTGAATGGATCCTACTGTCATATTTATTAAAATGCTCAAGGAGAATGAAAAATATAAGGACCTATTATGAAACTTTTAGAGAAAACATTAGGAAAAATAGTAAAGTTTTCCCTGTAATGTTTAGAGGCTACTTGTTATAATAGAGAGATGATTAATCTTTTGGTTATAAGTCCTCATTCTGTTACTTATGTGGCTTGGACAATTTTCTTAGAGTTTTTAACCTTCAGTTTTTTTATGTGTAAATGACATGATGATACTGTTTCATAACATCTGTGAAAATTTTAAATAAGGAATGCAATGGGGTTCATTAAATGATAGTACCATAGCATTCTACACGAGGCAGTGGCACAGATTTTCCTTTGGAATTTTTCATTTCCATACCCAGTAAAATTACTTCTGTATTCAAAGTCTTCAGAAAAGTTCAACTTGAGAGTTTTATTGTGTTTACTCAAGCTGTACTCACCCAGCTTGAAATCTTAGAGACATATTTGACTTTTTACAGACCCCATTTATTTTCCATTGGCTCTGCCTTCTCTACCTCTTGACACCTAGGGGGACCAAAACTTCTAGCAGCAGACTCAGTGCCCCATTCCTAATCAGTCTAGGGGAGATGTCCTCAAACTACGGGCCCAGTCCATGGGCCACATGCTGCCCACCCAGGACATTTATCCAGCCCTCCAGGTGTTTTTGCTGCTGTTTTTCCTGTCCTGCTTAGCAGCCAACTTGTCCCGGGCCCACAGTGCACAATCTCCAACGGTCTGAGGGACAGTGAACTGGCCCCCTGTTTAAAAAGTTTGAGGACCCCTGGAGAGTGAGGAAGATATATGTTATTATGAAGACCTTTGAAGATTCCTTCAAATCAAGTAGGGTTTAGAATTATTACTGTCTTGTTTAATTGGCTTAGACTCTACCTCATAAATAAATTAGTAGAATTAATAGAATTAATTTGATTTATTAATATAATTTATTTATTAATAGAATAAGTAATATGGGATCTGGTAGACCTGAGTTCAAATTCTGTATCCACCATTCACTAACTCTGTGATCTTGGTCAGATTACTTAATCATTCTCTACTTTGTTTCCCTTACTTATAAATTAGGAACAAGAATGCTCACCTCATGAGATTGTTGAACAAATATTTATGTTGAATGTTGAACAAATATTGATGTAGTGTTCAACAAATGTCAAGAACTGTGCTAATATTATATTGACAAAGCAAATATATAAGCAAGACACATACTTGGCTGCTAAAATCAGTTTATTAGGGAAGATTCACGGAGACAGGAATCCACCTCGTTGCCCAGGTGGATTCAGGGAAGATGCACAGAGATTTAGCAGGATTGTATATCTATTTTGGGAGAGGAACTCCTATATTTGGGCTGTGGAGCTTTTGGGTTGCATAATATAAGGAGTGCCAGCCACTACCCTGAAATAATTAGGAATTTGGATATAATAGCAATATGTCATGGCAGAACTTTAGTTCCACCCTCCTGACACTCAGTGCTCCTGGCTAGGGATTTGTAGGATTTGAGGCCTTGATTAAAAAACCTGTCTGCCTTACTTCAGACCAGTTAAAAATGGAACACTGAGGCTCCTGGGGAGGTTTTTGGCCAGTCTAGCCGTAAGTGAAAGGCAATAGAATATAAATGGGGGATGTGAAAAAGGTGTTACTCTGAATAATACCTTTTCTAAGATGTTGTGGGGCAGGGGTCAAAGTCTTGCACTTGAAGTTGTATAACAGCAAACTAGGGGCAGGAATTGCTACATCAGCATTTGTGATTGGAAGTGCACTAACATAATACTTGTGGAGGCAACTGTGATCCAAGGTGTGCAGCTAACCATACTTGATTGTATTAAAATGGGTCATAACCAGTTTTCAGTGAACTTTACAGAAGACCACCCCTTTTCTGTGAGGCCAGTATACTGGGGATTAGTTTTGGATAAGTTAATCCTTATCTCTTGGCTAAGCATGGAGACACATGGGTGAACAATAGTAGACATTATTAATCCTCAAATAGATTAGTGTTCAAAAAGGTAAATGGATTTTGGTTAAATTATACAAAAAGTAACATTTTAACTATGATAAGCACTATGAAAGAGAGATACATAGCGCTATGAGATACATTAATAAAAGCTTGTTGTAGTATAGGACATCAGAGAATGCATCCTTAAGGAAGTGATAATTGAACTAAGATGTGAAGAATGAATAAGTGATTGCTATGAAAATTAAATGTGATAATGTGTAAACTCTCAGTGAATGGAGATAGGTTGTGTTATTGTTCTTCTGTTTTGACATCAAGATAGTTTTTGCTGGGAGTTTAAACTATATAGATGAAGGTGAAGGAATGCAGGTGAATCACTAACCGCTTTTAACTTAAGAGGACATACCTTGAAGTTGATTACCAAGAGAATAGAGATGAGGAACACCAAAATGTGAATCACCAAATAAAAAAAGCAGGGAATATGAAATCAGTTCAAGGTCAAATTAGAAAAAATGAACAGATAAAATGTAGAAGTTGGAAAACAGTTATGAATTGGCTGGATTAATGCCCTGGAATGACCTGTGTGTACGTTGATACCTCTTTAAAGCCGCAGAGCCAACTTCATAGAGAACGTCATTTGTTGAAGGTGGT